GAAATCAGTTCTTCCTTTTCACATTTCCAACAAATCCTGAAAATTTCATCAAATCGGTCCATCTTTGTGAGTTATGTTGCTAACAGTCACACAAACAAACAAACAGACAACGCCGGCAAAAACATAACCTCCTTGGCGGAGGTAAAAATCGGATCTGTGTCATTCAGACATTAAAAGATCAGATACAGGTCACATAGGGGCCAAAAAATCGGATTTGGGTCACTTCAGGCTACAGTCTGAACGTAGCCTTTGATCACAACAGGAGCCAAAATAAATAGAGTGAAATGACTGTTAAATAAAAAGCTGCACTAAACCTGCACACGTCTGATCTCTGAAAACATGAACCATCTCCAACGTGACACAGACACAGAACAGACTCACCATCATCATCATCAACATCCCTCTGTCCCAGAAAGAACACTCATATTCCCCTGAGTCGTGTCCTTTAGTCCGACAGAAGCTGAACCGCATCAGCGCACAAGGAGAGAGCAGTTTTAAGTTTTGTTTCTGTAAAACGTAAGCAAATGTTCTTATATGGGGTTTTGCTAACTGCTTGTATCCGTGATGATGTCATTGTTTTGCCAGAAATCTTCCACAGTATGGCATTAAACATCTACAAGAAGACAAACGGGGTGAGGTCAAAATGCAGGTCAGATCTGTGGAGGGGCGACACTGCTCATAGTAAGAATGCATGTTTTACAAGGTTTTAAACAGCTGTAATTGAATAAGTGTAAGATTGGTTAGGGTTAATGCCATGCTGTGGAACTTCTCTAGATAAAGAATTAACATGTCCATGGTGACAAGTGGGGATGGGTCCTCCTGCAGAAAAGTTACAAAATATTTTAAGCGATTTCCTAATTAAATAATTTGAATAATGTAAAATAAAATACACAAATTCATCCGTGATAGTGGTAATGATTCAATATTGTGAGTAGTTTTGCTAAAATTTCTAAAAAAATCAATAAAGTTGTTTCAAAATAATATACACGTTGAAGATTTCTTTATGTAAATTACTACATACAATTATGGTTACAAAAAAAACACAAGAAAACTCTTTAGAATAGCGCGCCAATAGAAGTGAATGAAATAAAGCTTCATAAATAATCGTTTGATTAACTAACATCAACAAACACAGGGTTTCATTTTACTTTTACTTATATCAGACAATTACTGGGCCTATGCCAAACATTTACAACTTAAATCACAGCCCTGTAATTATAGACTTTGAACTGAATGTCTGCCAATGTTTGAGTAGCTTAATGCACCTAATTCCTTTCACGTCCAAATACATACAACTCTAATCATTAAATTAAAATGATCCATGTTTTGTGGTATTGAAAATTTGTTCCATTGTCAATGAATTCCAATTAATTCCAAATGCTGATTAATGATTTTCCAGATATATCCTTAAGGAAATGTGTGTAAAATTAAAGATGTTTGTTAAATTAACTGATGAGGACAAATTTTTATTTTTGTGCATCATAAACCAATTAAAAAGTTTGAATAAAAATGTACTGAGAAACAATGCACTCGTGGCTTTAAATGTTCATCATTTAAAAGCTGCAATGTGTAATTTTTCTGGTGGAGGGTGCATTTCTTCATTGAGATATTCCACAGTACGGCTTTAAACTTATTTATCTCCAAAAAGACAAGTACGTGACAACGCCGGGCAGGGTTACAGGTCAGATCTGTGGAGCCTTAAATTATTTTTGAGCAATAAAACACTGACAGGAGATGACTTTAATGCCACAGTGGAACATTCTGTGCAAAGTGAAAACATCTCCATGAGACAAAGAAGTGACAAATAGAAAAGTTGCATTACCCCGTTACGTAAACTGTAGTTGTGTAAAGTGTAATGTTTCCATGGAGATGTTGTTGCTTTGCTGAGAATATTCCACAGCGCAGTGTTAAACTTTCTGCGTTTACTCAGATACAAGTTAAAGGTCAAACTGTGAAACATTTCCAAGGAGAAAAGCAGGTGGCATACCCTCCATCAAGTTAAATAGTGTAGTGTTTTTTTTCTGGGGACCCATATTTTAAAAGTCACAAACCATAGACATTATTCGTAAATCACAAAATAAAGGTGGATTTGAACATTATTGAACATTAATGAGGATATTTTATTGTTAACTGAGTGATCGTGTGTCTCTGAACAATTAGTATTATTCAAGTTTTAAATGAAATGAAAAACAGTAATTGAAGCAGCAATAAAAAAGATCCATAAGTCGCTTATTTGGACACTAAATGTAGCTAATTTCTTTTTCTTTTCAACATTCAATTGAAGCAGCAATATTGGAGTAAAATAGCCAATAAAATAATTACAAAATGATTAGAAATGATAAAAAACATGTCTTAACATTTCAACATTTCTAATGAGATAGGTGGGCCTGTCTGTGTTTTTGTAGCGTGTTCCAGTCCGGGTGCAGGAGGAGAGAGCAGCAGCAGATCAGGCGCAGCATTCAGTCCGTTTCTGTGCTTTGTCTTCATTTTTGTGAGCACAGAAAATCACAATTCATACATATGTAGTAATAAAAGGAAAAAGCATAGAAATACTGGCCCTACTGTGGACAGAAGATTCTGACAAAATGCTTATGCAGAATGACGATAAGGTCACAGATTCAATGCGCCTTTGCAGAGGACTCACTAAAACTCACTATTACAGACCTACATGCAGATTGTGACAAGGCGACATAAAAAAAATAAAAAATCTCTTGCGACCCAGTCTTTGCAAAACAATGAAATAGTGTACCTTTAAATGTTAACTGTTCTCAACTACAGTAATGTCTGTATCATACACCATTCAGTTCAGATCAGATGCATTTCAACACAAAACTGGAACAGAATTTGACTCAGAAATAACTTAAATATCCCTTAGGAATAGACAACTAAAATTTACTTGCACCTTGTGTTCTTAAAATGTTTGAAATGAAAGATCCTGTATTACGCAAAATAGACTGTTGTGAGTTTTAAGTTATGTTATGATGCTGTTACCTCATCGTTAGTGTTAGCAGCGTGTCTCGGTTGGCGGGCGACGGGAGCGGCTCTGCGGGCTACACCTGTCCCATTTTCGGCCAGTTCGAAGGGCTGCAGCCTTCGAATTGGGACACGGCAAATGTCTCCCTCTCTTTTTAATTTTATGAAGATTATTTATGTTTTGATTAGTTTATATTGTGATTTTAATGTATTTCTTATTCTGTAAAGGCACTTTGAATTACTTTGTGTACGAATTGTGCAATACAAATAAACTTGGCTTGCCTTAATTGTACCTTGTGTCCTTAAAACATCTGAACTTAAATAAACTGTAATTAAACTGGAAACACCTCTGTGCACCATAAACTTTTCAGGTCAGGCCAAATGCATGTTAATAAACTCCTGGAACCGAGCCTATCAGTTTATATCGTGAGATAATCAAAACAAAATTGTGTGTCACCGCCTGGATTCAAGACGCCGGGCGGTGACAGACGAATCATACGTTATAAAAAAGAAAGGAGGAGGAACGAGGAAGCAGAGGAGGTGAAACTGGGTCACTCCTAAAAGCATAAATTAAAAAGAAAACTCCTGCAAAGGGATTTTCAGTTCACTCATAATTCTTTGTTAAAGGTGCATTGTGTAACTTTTCTGTCGGAGGATCTGTCATCAGATTTTTTCCGTGGCGATGTTATTGCTTTGCTTGAAATGTTCCACAGTAGCTTTAAACTAATCTATCTTGCATTTATTAATTTGGAGGAGTTTGTATTGCTTGAAAAAACAACAACACACAAGTAGCGTCGTCACTTCACAGATCTGGCGTGTAACTTTGTTTATTGGTGTCGCTTTTTTGTCTCCAGGAAGATAGATATGTTTAATGCCATACTGTGGAGCATTCTAGATAAGGCAAAAACATCTCCATGGAGACGAGGAGGTAACGAACCCTCCACCAGAAAAGTTACACAGTGCGCCTTCAAGTATTTATAAACCAACTAAGAGGAAAAAGTTAAATTAAAACAAGTTCTTCTAAGCAGGATTGAAAGATTTGTAACCTGCTTGTTTCTATGGCGATGCCACTGCTCAGCCAGGAATGTTCCACAATATGACATTAAAGAGTTCAACCTTACATTTATTCAATTACAGGTGGTTTTATAGCTCAAAAATCATTATGACTTTAAGTGGAGTCACTTTTCTACAGGTCTGACTTGTAACTTGGTCTGGTTTGGTCTCCATGAAGATTGAAAGGTTTAATGCAGGCATGTCCAAACTATGGCCCGGGGGCCAAATGTGGCCCTCAGACACATTTTTCTTGGCCCTCAGACTTCTAGGTGAATTGGCCCAAATTACCTTGCATCATTTAAAAAATATTTTTTTACTGCAAGTTTTTTTTAAAATCTACCTTGATAAAGCAAATATTTCTTATTTAGTGTGTGGTTTTAAGGATCTTAGCATGAATAAAGACTGATGGCTCATTCCTAACGTGTTAATCATGCACATATTTCAATTATTAACTGTATTGAGCACCAGTCTACGGCTCTCGATCGGCCCTCTGCTTTGTCTGTGGTTAGATATGTGGCCCTTGATGAAAAAAGTTTGGTTACCCCTGGTTTAATGCCATACTGTGAAACATTCCAGACAAAGTAATAACATCTCCCTTGACAACCCCCCTGAACATCTATACAAACTTTTTCAAAACAATATTTGGTTATGTTATTAAAGAAGGACTAAATACTTTTGTGGTGTAGTGTCCGCCGCATAGAGATGTTATTGCTTTATCTGGAATGTTCCACAGTATGCCATTAAATGTTTCCGGTTTCAGTTCTTTCAGTGTTTTTTTTTTTATACAAGCATTTTTCCTGAGATCTGACCTGTAACTTGGTCACCCGTTTTTCTTAATGCCCTACTGTGGAAAATCTCCAGGTAGTGTCAGATCCTTCACTAAAAAAGTTACAGTGCACAGTTATAGGATCTAAATAAAAAGAAATCAAATAAAAAATTAATAATATGATTAAACCACTGAATGTACCATGCTATTCTTCAATTTGAAAATCAATATTTTAATCAGGTATGAAATAATTTATCAATAGTTTGGGGAAAAAAACACTTTTGGGTCTAGTTTAGTTTAGTTTATAAAGGTCCTGTGGGTTCATAATAACAAACTATTAGGGCTGTTGCCATAGTGATTAACAGTTCAAAACAAAATGTGGCATGAAACAGGAAGCAGAAACCAATGAACTGACCCAGATGAATTGCAAAATAGATTGATGCTTTTAACATTTTCAAACCTGAATTATAACAGGGCAAATACAATGAGTCCATGTAGCTCCAGCGACCGCAGTCCACAGGTTGAAAATAATAAAATGAAATAACTACCTAACGAAAATAAAATGTCCAGAAAAGTCCTTGTGTTGACATTATATACAGGAGGTCAGAGGTCAAATGTCGATGGCTCCTTTGGATTTGAACTTCTTGGCCGATCTTTCACTCGCTCGCTGCTCGATCCTGCTCCCGTAAATGTGAGACACGAAGCCGTTCACCTCGATCTCGAACACACTGTGCCTCTTCGGGATCACTGAGAAAGAAAACAAATAATTTATACTTATATGATGCCAACTGGAGACACTGCTCCGTCTGAAGCTCTGTTACTCAAGATAGATTTTAATATGTGCTTTGTTTTTTGCAAAATCCAAACAGAAGGAACTCACAAATGAAATTACAGTCACATAGCTAGAATTACCCAATAGTTTTTCAGTTAGTCTCTCACCTTTTGGTTGAAAATCAAACTCCAAAACAGGACCATGAAAAATCATATTAACCACAGGCTCCTGGAAATGTGCTGTTTAAATCCATTTTGTATTTTCTCGTGAGTTTTCAAATCATCTTAATGAATGAAGTTTGTTTGCTTGTTCACATTTTACCAAACAAAACATTTTCTGTTTGTATTGGATACCACCACAAAAGGATTAGGCTGAATCAACTTGTTTATGTGAGTCAATCCTAAGTCTAAAAAACTTATCGGGCTGTGTTTGCTAATGTGTATGTTGTATCACCATGATAACTGCTGAACATTCTTCCATAGACATGCATGCAGAACACCCCTTGCATGATGTCACTGCAAAGTATCAATAATAAAAGGTATTTTCATTAATAAAAAGACAATACTGGCAGATGTACCGGTTATTTAACAGTTGTTATATAATAATAGTTTTATTTATTTTCACTTTTATCAGCCACTTTTGTTTCTAAATGTTACAAAACCACACAGTTGCACTTCTGGTTAAGTGGTGATCCCTTTAAACGGAGAACTTGAGAAAAGTTTCACTGCTAATATATGTAAGTACTTTGATTTGTGTAAAATTTTCAATGTTCATGTGACCAACAAGTCAGTAAAGCACAGATTCACTAGGAGGTTTTAAAACGGCTTTGTAGACCATTGTTTCCCAAAGACTGGGCCGTGACCCTTAGGTGGGTCGCAAGAGATTTGTTTTGGGGTTGCCTTGTCACGATTTGCATGTAGGTCTGTAATAGTGAGTTTTAGTGAATCACAAAGACACTATGGATCTGTGACCTTATTGTCATTCTGGATGAGCATTTCGTTAGAATCTCCTGTCCTCAGTAGGGCCAGTGTTTCTATGCTTATTCCTTTCACTACTACATAAATGTGTGAATTGGGATTTTCTATGCTCACAAAAAGGAAGTGCAGAAACAGACTGAATTCTGTATTTGATCTGCTGCTGGACTGTCCTCCTGCACCCCGGACTCAAACACGCTACAATAACACAGTCAGGGCCATGTTTTGTATCATTTCTAATCTTTTTGTAATTATTTTATTGACTATTTTGTTCCAATATTGCTACTTCAATTGAATGTTGAAAAAGAAAAAGAAATGGACTACATTTAATGAGCAAATAGGCGACTTATGAATCCTATTATTGCTGATTAAATGATTGTTTTTCATTGTTTAAAACTTGAGTAATACTAATTGTTTAGAGAGACACAATCACTCATTCATTAATGTTCAATAATGCTCAAATCCACCTTTATTTTGTGATTTACAAACAATGTCTATTGACTTGAGTTGTGAAGGTTTGTGACTTTTAAAATATGGGTCCCTACAAAAAAGGTTTGGGAAACACTGATATATTTGTCATCAAGATCAGTAACAATTGTGAAAACACCCTCATTCATTACTATACTGTCAGTTTAATACACAATAAACTAGACAAATAATCTCTTTGTTGTACTACTTGCATGAACAATGACAAAGACAGAGCACCTGCACGATGTCACAACAGAACACACAAGTTATGAAAGACCAAAACAACAGACTGACACAGAGCTTAAACCCTTTTCCTGTCAGTCTGGCACAGTCTGAAACACGTTCTCTTTGCTCTAAGCTCCGTCTGCCCCTTTCACCTTCGCATGATTGACAGGAGACAGTCTGTCCTGAGGATGGTGCAACGAGTTAAAACTGCCTCATAACATTTGTATTATTTACTCCCTCCTTGTCCTGTCCATCGTTTAAATTAGACACCACCTCCTTTCACAACTTAATAACGTCTTCACATGCAACTCACTGTAAACTTGTAATTATCTGTGTTTAAATATTAAAGAAAACTCTAGGATCATAGATAATTGTATAGTCAATATATAACTAAAGCAATTAAAGATAAAATTATGCAAATATATGTGTTTTTTATGTTTTACGTGTTGAGTGCCAAACCTTTTAATTCGTCTTTCTTGGTGATGATTTTGAAAACGTGCTTGAATTCTTGAATCAAAATCCCGGTCAGGCCGACGTACGAGGCGCATTTGGAGCGAACCACTGTAAAATAAAATAAAAAAGAATGAGAGAGAGATCAAACTGGCTGTGTGAACCATTTAAGTTAAAGGTGCATTGTGTAACTTTATGGATTTGTCTGGAATGTTTCACAGTACGGTGTTAAAGCTTTTAATCTTCGCGAAGACCAAACCAGACCAGATTATAGGTCAGATCTGTGGAGAAATAACCCCCGCTCACAGTCACAATAAGCACTAAAACCACCTGGCATTGAATAAATGTAAGGTAGAGCTGTTTAAAGTCACACTGTGGAACATTCCAGGCAGAGCAATGATCACAGAAACAAGCAGGTGACAGGCTCCCAACCAAAAAGTTACACAATGAACCTTTTAATATTCAAATTTTGACATTTTAGAAATAAAAAACAATGATTAAATAACTGTTCTACAAGCACATTATCATTACAAAACAAGTTTCAAATGCAACAATAAAGAAAAGTACCTACGTAATCCAAATAATTACAGTATGCACAATTCAAGTCAATTAAGTATCAGATTGTTACGAAACAATAATGAGATAATGAGACTGTTGGATAATTTTCCAGTCCTTTCCACAGATTTCTGTTTCAAAACCATTCACAGAAATATCTTGAGTATCCACCCAGCACAGGAACAGGAACACCAATAAAAACGCTGATACACAAACTTGTGTATTACAGATCTCACACACCCAGTGATGAGGAAAGAGGGTATTGCATAATTTAAAACCCAAATAAGGCTATAATAGAAATTTTTAAAAATGTGTGTAAAAAAATCTGACTTTGCAGTTTTGATTTAAAGGTGCACTGCGTAATTTTTCAGGTTGGGGGTCTGCTACCCTGGAGATGCCAATGCTTTGCCAGTAATGTTCCACCATATTGTATTAAACAGGATATACAAGATGCATTTATTCAGTTATACGTGTTTTTATTACCCCAAAACACCTTTAAAACATGCACTGTGGCTATGAGTGGGGTCACTTATTCACACAGGGTTCCCACTCTTTTTCACTGACAAATTTTCAAAACTTTTCCATGACTTTTTCATGACCTAAAGTGAATTTTCCATGACTTTACGGCTCACTACATGTGCAGAATTGACTTTTAAGGATAAATATGAAATGTTAACCCTTTCCACTCACCTTATGGTTTGGTATTTTAGTTTTTTAACATTCAAAATAATGTCAGTGCATTTATTTTCATGTCTTCTAAACAAAAGGTGCATATGTTCATAATAGCCAAATGAGAACTTAACAGAACGCTGTAGTTGCCTGAAAGAAATACTAAAGTTCCATGACTTATCCAAAACTTTCATTGAATTTTCAAAATCCATGACTTTTCCAGGATTTCCATGACTGTGGGAACCCTGTTTACAGACCTCACCTGTAAACTGGCCTGGTGGCATCTCCAGTTTATTTCTATGGAGATTGAAAAGTTTAATGCCATAACTTAGAATATTTGAGGTAAAGCAATAGCATCTCCATGGAGACAAGTAACTGGCGGACCCTCTACCAGAGAAGTTACACAGTGCACCTTTAAGTCTTCTGTCAGATGGACGAATGTAAAGTGTATTAATTATATTTATACGACCAGTTTTACAGCAGCTTTTCCTTATTTGGACACAACTAAAAGTGCGTGTGGCAGATTAGACAGCTCATTTCACTAAAACATATTAAATGTCATTATGTTAATAATTATGTGATAATGAATAATGACTGGATTACTTAACACTCTTTCCTTAAGTGATTCAATCATTTTATTTCCTGGTTGGACAGGGGCAGGTGATATGACGGTTACCTAGCAACCATAAGGTAAACAAGGGCAAAAATTGGTCTAAATGGTTATGATTGGACTAATTAAAATAAATAAATGATGTCTTTTTTGTTACATGAAGGTTTAAACTGTCAGAAAAATGTGTTCCTTGTGCATAAATAGGCTCTGTGCACGACAGGGAGTTTTGCTGAGTCATGTTAAAATGAATAAGATAAAGATAAGGCATTATTGGGCAGTGAGCTGAGAGATGTTTGAGTCTCAATGCTAACGTCAGTGCACACATCATGGTAAATATTGAAACACCACCACAAATTTAAGTATTCTACGTATAAAAATAATTGGTCATGCTTTACTTTAATTTTATTATGTTGTTTATTTTATATTTTACATTTTCAATAAAAGTGACCGCTTGGAGACCATGAAAGTATAATAAAATCTGTAAGTTGAACCCAAAATGGCGTTGCATTTTTTTCAGTGGCCTGTGCTCTTTGATAGCCTGATTCATCAGCCAGTTTCACTGTGGAAACCGTCTGACCTCACAGCATTAGGATTCGTTTGCTTGACAGTAGGTGGGTACTTTTTTAATTTAACTAATCGCAGCTATTTGTTCGTGATGTATGCAATGCTCCTCTAACGGAGCTAATTGGTATATTAAGCTTTTCCCAAATCCCGTAGGAAGAAGGGCAATAATGTCTTTCCCCTTGATAAAATTCACCAAACATTCCCTTTGTTCCGACTTTAAATCCTTGATCTCTGGAATCATTGCCAACAAACCGTCTAGTGCATTCCAATTCCTGACCTAGTCGCTGGAGAGAAATGAAATTGAGCGGAGGCACTAGGTGGAGCCAGCCTGGGTAGCTCTTTGGTACATGGGCCCAAAAATAATTTTCCCTTCCTCATTACTTCCTCGGTACAAGCGAGCTCCTCCCACCTGTGTGACATCTGTAACGTTCACGGTGTGGTGTGTTTGGACCAATCAGAGGACTAGCTGCTATTGCAAAGCCAGAGCGGGGTCAAAACTAACTTTTAGGCGCTTTGAAGGTTTAAACATTTTTATTATTTTTGTTGTAAAAAGAATCCCTACAAAATCCGACCTTTGTGAAAGTTGTCGATGCCTCATCAGCCAAACACGGGCAGTTTGAATTCCCAAAAATGCCTTGCACTCTATTATGGAATCAATTTTGAGTCATATATAGTCATATTCAAAGAATGTTTTTAAAACATCGAGCAAAAAATTATAAATTAAAATACCAAAAAAAAAAAATTATAATCAAGCAAACAAAATAAAATATATAAGATTGCTAGTAAATTATTTGTGTAATTGAGTAAAATATCTGTTTTTGCCTGATGGGAGAATTCTTTCTGGGCTGGAGCTCCCGGGAGCAGCCAGTAGTTGGTCTCGAAGTGGGACAATGATTCCCCTCTTATCCAGTTCTTATAATAGATCCATGTTTGAGACACAGTGAGCTCTCTAGTGTGCTACCGAGCCAAGCGTCCCTGCAATTTACATGGAAATTCTAGAGTTGATGACAGTAGGGGACTCTGTTTTAGGACTCAGCACAACTTCCTGTATTTTTGTACATTGTCAACTTTTTTTTCTCCACAAACTGCCACTTAATTGATGAAATTATGATAAATATACAACACGGGACAGATACTATACCATCAAACTATGTAATAATTAGAAAAACATGAAAACCTTTTAACAGTAAATCCTCACCTTTAATAATGGCACCATGGAAATCTGCCTTTAAAAGTTTCCCCTGAACCAACTGTGGATTACTGCAAAAACATGACAGACTCTATTAGCACAAAACAAAGAAAAGAATTAACACACAAAAGGAGCTTTGTGTTAACATGTGAAATCTCAATAGACCAGTTTGTACAGGTAATTTATTGATCCAACATAAACAGAGAACTCTATAATTAAAAACAGGCTCACGGGAGTTACAAGTCAAATCTATGGAGAGGGAAGGCTGCTCATAGTAAGATATTTTGGCACCTGGAATTTTACAAAACTATAAAAAACAAACACTTACGTTGTCGGCTGCAGACCGTTGCACAGGTCAATGATGTACTGCTTCCAGAGTTCATGAAGAGGAAGGAACAGCTCATATCTACAAGAAATAAACAGATATTTTGGTAAAAGTTACTACTAAAAATAAAAATACTTAAACGTAATTCAGAGTTTGGTCATTTTTGCAATCATATTTTCTCAATATCTGTTTAAATAACCATTATCCTACTAATATGCACATTCTATTTTACGGGTGAAGTGCAGTTTTTTTCTGTACGGTGGGTGAGTGGCTCAAGCTTCACAGCAAGAAGCTCCTGGGTTCAATTTCTGTGTGAAATTTGCATGTTCTCTCTGTGTCTGAATGGGTTTCCTCTGGGCACTCTGTTTCCTCCATCAACCCAAAACGTGCACAATAGGACAAATCCTGACCTAAGGTAGTCCTGACCAAGACCAGCAACAAGATCTGGAGCTGGGTCCCCAGCGTGGCACTGTGTCTGAGGAGATGCCCCAGCAGCACTGAAGGATGGGTCAAATGCAGAGGATAAATTTCCCTATGGCGACAATAAAATCCAGCTTTGTCTAACCATAACTTTTACTTCTGGGTTAGTTATCAATGTGTAATAATTAGAAGCACACAGAGCGCAGAGGTCAAAGTGCTGCTTTTACAAGTTATAATACAGCGACAAATCTACAAGAATAAAGTTTAGAAGCCCAGATTGAAGTAGAGACTGAACACTAATTCTAAAAGCTCTCACCCCTCTGGACTAATCACGGGTCCTAATGTAACTGTTTAGTGCATGTGCAGTGAGGCGTACTTCTGATGCTCGGGTTTAATGGTGAAGATCTTCATGTCCCGCTTCTGTTTGGCATTGAGTCCTTTGGCTTTCTTGTTCTTGGGTTTGTCTTTCTTGGAGCGGGCGAATCCCATTATCAGAGATTTATGTTTGAGGATGTCGTCCACGTCAGACTTCGAATTCTCCTTTAAACTCTTCTTCAGGAACGAGCGCGTGAACGCAGCGGCTTTGGACTTCACTAGAGGCTGGCAAAAGAAAGTAAATGGTAAATGGTCATATTTTTTACCGTGCCTTTCCACTTTCAAAGCATTCAAAGCACTTTATTATGGTTTTTAAACATGAAAATAGAGATATTTTAGTATTCAGAGCAAGTACAGCAGGCTCTATATAGGGTCCATTTTAGAATTTTCCCCAGAACACATGATTCAAATTACTACAAACTCTATTACTATAAACTTCACTACATAAATAAATGGAAAGATAATATCAACAGAAATGATTTTAGACTTCCACAGCTTTACAACTAACCCATAATGAAGCAGTGTTGTGTTCACTGACCTTCACGCCGAGCGCTCCAGTCAGCTCCTGAGGGATCGGATCATTCACTGCTGCCTCTGACAATAAAATAATAAAATACATTTTATTTTCTGTGAGTCACTTATTAAAAGTCTGTCATGAAATACTAAAACTGGCTTTTATTTTGTTTTTGAATAGAAAAGGTAAAATCGCAAATTGAGGTTTGAGGAAAAATACATTAACTTGTTACCAGCCACTTTTTCTTATCAGAACTAAAAGTTTAATTACTTGAGACAGAACATTGGAAATAATTACTGATCACAGTGTAACTCCTCTTTGCACAGGGACAGTCTGAGCTTGAGGTGTGGGTGTTGGTGTAAAACAGACATGAACTCATAACAGCTCAAAATTAAAGTTACAGTGAGAAACCCTGCAGGTACAGAGAGAACCACTGGACCAAACCTCAAATCAGGTCTGACAGGCTGAGTGCACAGCGCCGACAGAAACAAAACATGATGCAACCATTGTTTTCAAGAAGCACAAAGGCTCAATCATCTCTCACAATGTCAAATGTATGTGTGTGAATTAGGGACGGGTCATGACATATTGTTGGCAGGGCTCAACGATGTGAGAAAAAACATACCGTTGGAATTAGCATTATTATTACTGAAACAAATTGTAATCTGTTCAAAGTTCACATTTTAAGCACTTTAAAAGAATTGACAGAGAGAGACTGAAATATGAACTGTCACTACAACTATTAAAAACTAGTCAAATCTTGTTGTTTGTGAAGGAATTTATGGTACTTTTTTCGTAAATTGAAGCCTTTGTTATTTGATAATAATTACAAATCCGTTCAAATTGGCTTTTTAATATAATTGTAGTTCATCTTGGTGGTGATATTCTGTGATTTATATGGGGAGGAATCCTGTGACCAATTATATGTGACCAGCTTTATCAAATCAAACTTTCTGAATAATAATAATAATAAAATATTAGAAACAATGGTGAATATCAATCTGTAATCTGCAGAACCACACCTCTGTCCTCATGTGACGTTTTTATTTCTTACAAAATAATACAAAACTAACAATGGGGCCGAGGGAGGAGAAGTCATCGACTGTATATGCAAATAAAAACACTGCGGTTTGAAAAAATAAACACAATAAAACACGAGTGTTCAGAGTTTACTATAGGGCCGCACCATATGAGAAAAAGATGTGATAGTCGATGGTGCAATGATAAAAGCAGATTACTTCATTTCAAAACAAAAGCTTAACAAAGAGAAAAATAAAACTGAGACTAATGTAGGACTCAGTAAGGAAAACCATGAATACAATCTGCTTTTTTGTCCATTTTACTTTCTAAAAACACTTCTGTAAAATAGAGAAATTTGTGTTGCAGCGATATATTTATTTTCTTGCAATTCTACATCTTGTATCGAAACTGGATACTCATCTGAGCAGGTATCAATACTAGAAAAAAATCACATTTACAGAACAAAAATGAGCCTTTCCTGAATATCTTTAGAGTGATCTTGAGCTGTATCAGAACAAATATAAGAGCACAAAGACTTGTATTCGCCCATGGACCACTCTGGAACCTACCTGCAAAACTGAGGGATTACACAGATATAAAACCACACGGGAATATAAAAGAAAGTACAACGATTTAATGTTGAGTATCGTGTCTATTCCTTAGTTCTGAAATTGAGTTTAAAATTTTAGTATCACTTGTGTCTAAACAAACAAATCATCACTGAAATAATCTTTAATTGAAGGCGTAAAGATGATACAGGGCTGCAACTATGGATTATTTTCTTCTCGATTAATCTAAAGCCACATTTTTTGATTAATCGACTAATCTATTGACTATTTTTTCTCTAATGCATTAATTAAATTATAACTTTATATGACTATATAGAGCGATTTGCTCCAAATATTCTATAAAGATTCATCTTGTTGTTTTTATTAGACTAATAAAAAGTGTATTTTGTCTTTTTGTGTACATTGCGGCTTATGTTACTGTGTCATGTAAGACAGTTATATGGTTCAAGAATAGACTGTACAAACATAATAATAATAATAGAATAGCTTCAAATCCTGTATAATTTAAAACTCGACATAAAAAAAAAAAAAAAGTTATACATGTATATTTATTTTTAGTTGTCCATATAATTTTGTATAATTATACCTTATATTACACCAGCCTCTTACTATTTTTGCTACTTATTTTGAATTTATATATTTTTGCTCTTTGTTATTATATTTATTGTGACATGTGAGCTACTGTGTCCAAATAATTTCCCTTGTGGATCAATAAAATTAAAGTCTAAGTATAATTCTGTCACCTTAACATTAAACTGAGACTGGAAACTGTTAAATTTAGTGGAAAATGTATTGTTGCTACAATGCATGACTACATGAGGGTCTAATTGCTAATCTCTTCCATATGAGTGTATTGCTTTGAACATTACACAGGCAATCCATGTTAAAACCACAAAGAGCTCAAAACTGTTGTGTAATTTCCTTTCTGTGTGAATAAAACTAAGAAATAGTTATATATATATATGGTGGTTTGTGACAAAGCAAGTTAAATGCAGGTTATGCTTTCCTAATACAACACTGTAATAGCATTTCTGCAAACTGGTATTAAAGACTTAGTGTTAATATTTAGATTTTATTTAAAGGTTCTGTCTTATGTCAACTTGGCTCTGGAGAGTTTTAAGTCATGTTATAAAGTTATTACCTGCTCAAAAACATATCTGGAATTGTGTTTTGATTAATTCGAGTTGAGCTCACCTTTTGTTATTATTCTGTCTATGTTTATAAAGCTCAAAATGCTCTGTTCCACCTTGTGATGTCATGAAAGGAGTAGTTTTCAAGTGAACATCTACCTTTTAATTTTTGTTCAGTAAAGATTGATGATTCCAGGACTGAAATTATAAAAAAATTTTCAAGTTAAGTGAAAGTGTACAGAGTTTAAAAACACAATAGAGCACGTCCGGTATTACCAAATTACATCACAAGGTGGAACAAAGTGTCTTCAGTTTGAGAGAACAACTCGACGCAGGGTTTGTGTTAAATGTTAAATGTGGTAAATGAAACAAAACACAACTCCAGGTCTGTTTTAGATAAGAAAACAACATTATAATAGATCAGGAAATAGTGTAATCTGTTTCCTTTTGTTTGCACTTTCCTCTGAATCTTCTCACCAAAAAAATCCCCAAAACAAAACTTCCTCTTTCATTACATCCTTAAAGGCACATTACATAACTTTTCTGGGGGAGGGTGTGTTGCCTGAATGTCTCCATGGTGACGGAGAAGTGAAATAACATTTGACTTATCTATCGTAAGCAACAACAACATCCCGACGGCGCCACCAGACCTTTGTTAAGTCTCACGGTTTAGATTGAAGTTTTGTTTTGTTTTTTCATGGTGTTTTTGAACAATACAAACACCTGTAACCAAATATATTAAAGAAAGAAAGAGGTTTATTGCCATACTGTGGAACATCTCAGGCAAAGCAATAACATACATATTGGAAGAAATAGCTAGGGAGGACTGAATATGTGTACTGGGACACTTCATTCAAACAGTACTCCGGTCAGAGAGTAGAAATGGACACAGTAACATATTTTTGGAGCTTTAATGTCCTGTTTTCAAACTATTTATCTGGTTATATGTTATTATGTTCTTTTTTCAGACTAAGAGTTTGTTTTCATACCTGACTGTTTCGACTGCTCACTAGCGCTCTTCCTCAGAGTGGTCACGTGATGTTGCTGTGACGTGTCTGGTCATCTGATTTATACAGGTTTTGGCGCTGTCTTCCTACCAGAGGAGGCAGGACGACAGCGCCATCTGCAGTCCGACTTCCTCAGGACAGTATCCCAGGTGTGTGAGAGTAAAAAAGCCCGCTCGTCCCGGTTTATAGTCACAGACACATCACAGCAACATCACATGACCACTCTGAGGAAGACCTCTAGTGAGCAGTCAAAACTATCAGGTATGAAACAAAACTCTTGGTCTGAAAAAAGAACCTAATAACATAAAATATCGGAAGACCAAATGAACCTCATTGGACTTTTTATCTGGTTGTTTGATTTCGTCTGAACTATCCTTTCATCTGATAATCTCTGTCATAGACGCAGACTTAGATGGGTTAAAGGTAGGGATGGGCATGATTAGTCGACTAATCGATAACTGATCATTAAGCATTTCGTCAATTATGTTCATTTCTAATTCGACAAACTGAATGTAGGTTTATGTGCGTAGATATGAAGCTGTGTCTGACACAAACACTGGAGTTGCAGCCTCAGTCCCACATTTGGGCTCTGGTACCTCCTTGGAGACACTGTACCACTCAGTGAGTGTGTTTACATGCACATCTGTTTCCCGGTTTCGTCATGGTGCACGTTTACGCAGTATCCCGGTTACTGCAACATAAAGAGCTGCGATAAATCTGCACACGTACAATCTTTGAAAACATCGCGACACCCAGAACAGACTCACCTTCAACACATATATTCCACTGAGATTGTGTCATTTAGTCTGACAGTCCGATAATAATGATGATACTTATTATTTAAAAACGTTAATGATTACTCGAAAATCAATCATTAATTCTCCCGACGATCAATTAATAAAATTTCATTGAATGCCCATCCCTAGTTAAAGGTAAAGATCTGAAGCTGCAGCAGTTAGGCCACAGGTAACAGCGTCACCATGGTAACAGAGACAGTGTTACCGTGGTGCTCTCAAGGACCCCTGGAGCTGCCCATGAATGCCTGATCTAAATAAACAAAACTATACCTGTTACTGAACTAAAAGTCACTGAAACAAGCAGATGATAGACCCGCCCACACCACCAGAAAAGTTGCATAATGTGCCTTTAAATCTACACTCTGGTCTTCAAAGCTCCCTCCTCTGTACCATTTATTTACTGTCGTCCAGGTAGAATCCATGACAAAGGAGAAGTCCAATTTGTCAACCGGACACACGTTTGTTTGTTTTATTTATTTTATTTAATATATATTTATTTATTATTATTAATTAATTTATTTATTTTAATAAAAAGTGTACTTATTAATTTTTATATATATAAAAAAAAACAAAAAAAAAACAAACACTTGCTCAGCTCATTGAATCTCTCCTTTGCCGTATTTTTTAAGTTTCTCCTTATATTCCCTGTCCTTCCTCTATTATTATTATCGTCTAGATTTTGAAAAGAATCTAAGAATAAATTACAGCACTTGTACAACATTTCAGATTTTAATTTTAGGCAGTTTTGAGGAAATATGCAGTGCTAAACTTAGCTAACCACCACAATATTGGTAACTTTTAGGCATTATAAAGTTCACTCACCATTCATTTTGTGTTTATTCCGTGCTCTTGAATTCAGCTACACCCCGAATAATTATTATCTGATTATTATTGTCGAGATGCAACAAAAATGCAGAGGTTTTACAGCAAATGCTACGGTTTGTTTACATGTTACAAACCCATGCTGGTTCTGCAAACACTTCCGGGTTCCTTCTTCTGTGGTTCACCGCAGGTTCGTGCATCACTGTTGCCCCCTAGTGGATTAAACAGCACATGTCTCAAACGCAGACTGAATCAAGAGTGTGCTGTTCATGGGCTCAAATGTAAAACTGTACAAACATACATCATCATCATAATAACAATAATGAAGATAATAAATTAATAATAATGTTCTCAAGTAAAAAGCACTATTACACTAAAAACTAAATCTACACAGTTACAAGAACTTAGGCTTTGACAAACTTTATTGATCCTCAAGGGAAATTACTTGGACAGCAGTAGCTTCACATTATGATGTAATATAATAAGAAAAAGCAAAAGTGGTAATGTTAAATCAAAAGAGTAGCAAAAACAAAAAAGACTGGTGTCAAATATGGCATAATTATATGTACCAGAGGTGGGTAGTACTATTTAGTAGTTCATATTTTTAGTAAATTTTCTTTTAATTGAGTAACTTTTTAAAGAAATTTTACTTTTCAGAGTACTTTTCTAGCAACATACTTGAACTCCTACTTGAGTAATATTTTTATTGAAAAAACAGTACTCTTACTTAAGTAAAAGTTGTTACACGTCCCACTGTAAGTCTAGAAGTGACAAAAGCTTCATGTTAACAATGTGAAATGGTTTGAACATTTGTGTTTCTCGCACTGCTCCTTCAGATGTGATTTAGTTTGCTTCATGTTTGTGTCTATCCTTTGAAAATACCAGATTTTGTGCATAATTTAATGATTTGGCCTTCAAAATTATAAATAAGATGTTACGTCCTGATGGACAGTCTTTAAGTCACTCTTACTTGAGTAATACTATTTTGAAGCAACTGACTTTAGTACAGTTTTTGGCTACTTTATCACCTCTGTGTTGAACAAATAAAATATAGTAAATACAGAATATATCTCAAGAGGAACAGTGCAAAGACAAAATAATGATTTGACACGACATAGGATTATCTATTACATAACAGTGAGTTGTTGCACAGTTGTATAAGAGTGAGTTGTGAGTTGTAGCCTGGGAATTTAATTATTTCTATACAAGTGTATCACTGTGCTGCCTGAAAAAATAATTTACATCCATCCATCCATTTTCTTCAAACTATCTAGTACAAGCCTAAGTACAAGCCTAGTGTAAATTATTGTAAATATTTTTTTCTCATATTTGTGTCTATCCTACCAGATTAAGTGCATCATTTAATATGTTTAATATGTCCTTTAAACTACATTAACTTCAAATTATATATCAGATGTTATGCCTTGACTCTTACTTGAGTAGTGTTTCCCAAATACTGTTTGACTCTTACTTGAGTAATTTCTTAAACCACTACTATCTATCTATCTATCTATCTATCTATCTATCTATCTATCTATCTATCTATCTATCTATCTATCTATCTATCTATCTATCTATCTATCTATCTATCTATCTATCTATCAGGCCAGTGTAAATTGTATATGCTGTTATTCCTTTTCTATATTTAACATAGAGTAGACAGACGCATGCTTTTTTATAAGCTTTGTAAAAGTCCTACAAAGCTTATAAAAATATTTTCTGGATTTGCGTGTGAAGGTTAAAATATTTATGTAACTATAGTCATGCTGTTACGTGCGAAATCACTTCTGCTTATTTAAACCTTCAGTTATTTTTGCTTCCTTTTCATAATAAATTTTGCACTTTACTGTTTTTTTTTTTTTTTTTTTTGTAACACAAAGGCACTAAAATGCAAACAAAGGTATTTTCAAATGTTTATTAAAAAACTCCTCTTCTTAAAATATATTTACATCTTAAGTTACAAAACTGTGTACAGTATCAAACATTCAAATTCCCACTTTTTCAAGGCACATCTTTTTTTTTTACTTTAACAAAAATATATTTTCACAAAATACAGTAACGTCCCTTTTTCACCACTAAATAAAAATACATTTGTTTTTCTATGCTATTAATCTGTGGGTTTCGAGTGCATCTGTACCAAGAAAATGTTAAAAAATAAACAAGGAAACTGAAGTTCAACTCAGGTGAATTATAATTTGGCCTATTCAGAACCACAAACCTGAAGATTTACCAAGTTGTTGAATGAAAAGAATGAAGTTGCTCGCCATAATTATTGGTAATTTATTGGTTGTTTAACTTGGCAAGGAATCTGAATTATACTGGGAAATGCCCTGTCATTATTCTACTAACCTAAAAATAGAGATGTCAACAGGTCCATGCAAAAGACCAGTATCCCAGTACATCTGAATATGTGATTGTGATGGAAGTTAATGCAAATGTCACAGTGAGTAGAAATTCTTTAAAAATAATATTATAGTCCTACTGTTCTATTTAATTTGATATAACAAATATATCAAATTACACAGACAAACTACTGAATGTTATTGTTGTAAACAGGTGCAAGTCGAGTCCAGAATCACAGAGGGACATCAGATTTGTTCATTTCAATCAGGGGTGTAGTGGGTGTGGTACGTGGGGGTGCGGGGTTCACCCACTTCTCCCGACGTGAGATATAAAAAAATAACAAATATAAAATAGTCTACAACTTAAATGTCAAACCAGAGCTATTGGCAATGGTGAAAATAAACTGCATAGGCTTATGATACTTGCAGTACTGTTCTACCTGAGACATGACGGACCAGAACTGAACCAGAACTGAACCAGGACTGAACCAGGACTGAACCAGGACTGAACCAGGACTGAGTGTCAGGACGGGCTCAAAGGTGCGCCTGTATAGACCGTCGGGTGGCCGCACCCGGTGGCCGGACCAACGCAAAGCTCCACGCCCCACGGGGCTAGAAGCAGCCGTGTCTCGATCTGCGGACACCCTGCTCCATGGGCTCGGGGTTCTCTCTCACTCTCAAGTCCAAGATTAGTCCTGGTTTAGTCCTGATTTAGACCTGATTTAGACATAGTGTAGTCCTAATTTAGACCTGGTTTAGACCTGGTTTAGTCCTGGTTCAGTCCTGGTTCAGTCCTGGTTTAGACCTGATTTAGTGCTGGTCTAGTCCTGGTTCAGTCCTGGTTTAGACCTGATTTAGTGCTGGTCTAGTCCTGGTTTAGTCCTGATTTAGACCTGGTTTTGTCCTGGTGTAGTCTTGCTTTAGACCTGGTTTAATCCTGGTTCAGTCCTGGTTCAGCTCTGGTTTAGTCCCAGTTCAGTCCCGGTCTAGTCCTGGTTTAATCCTGGTTCAGTTCTGGTTTAGTCCTGGTGTAGTCCTGGTATAGTCCTGGTTCAGTCCTAGTTCAGTTTTGGTTTAGTCCTGGGTTAGTCCTGGTGTAGTCCTGGTGTAGTCGTGGTTTAGTCCTGATCTAATCCTTTTTTAGTCCTGGTTTAGTCCTGGCTGGTTTAGACCTGGTTCAGTCCTGGCTTAGTCCTGGTTTAGTCCTGATCTAATCCTTTTTTAGTCCTGGTTTAGTCCTGGCTGGTTTAGACCTGGTTCAGTCCTGGTTTAGACCTGATTTAGTCCTGGTTTAGTCCTCCTGGTTCAATCACAAATCGTGTACCCCGACTTAAAAAATCCCCACTACACCACTGATTTTGACTCATGTGAAACAAAGGAGCCTTTTCATTTTGAACTAAACCAAAATATTTGACCTTAAATTAACCGTTAGAGTCTAAAATTCGGGTTTCACATTTTTTTCATGTTAAGTAAAAGGACGCACAAGAACGTAAAATATGCAAAATGTACTGTACATTTTCTCACAAAGGAACCGCCCCCTTGTCTATATGGAAAACACATGCAGACGTTATTGAAATTTTTCAGTAAATATTTAGTTTGTCCCACAGCTTAGTCCCAGTTTTTAATTTTGTCCCTCTGTGAATTTGCGTTTGACACCCCTGAGCTACTCTGTGGAACATTCTAGACAAAGCAATAACATTTCCATGGAGACAAGCAGGTGGCGGACCCTCCACTAGAAATGTTACACAGTGCAAAACAACAACATGAGCTCATTGTTTTGGCTGTCGTTTGTACTTAATGACAGTAAAACCAAACTCATAAATCCAGACCTGCAGGTTAAGAACATTTTTCACCTGAACATTTTTTACCTCTGTGGTATTCTGTCCCGTATCCGACTCACTCGACTCGTTTTCTACTCTTGCTGGTAAACTCACATCAAAGTTGACAGTAAAAACGTGGCTTCACAATTGGAGTATTTTTTTTTTCTTCCGTAAAATTGCATAAAAAAGCAGCTATTTACAAAGTATGTACATTTACACATTCAGTAGCATCTGAATATCTGATTAACACTTTATTTTAGGTTACACTTATTAACATCTAACTACCCGCTAATAAGAATAGTTGTAAATGGTTAATTTGGGATTAATTAGTATTTATTCAGCCCTTATTCACGTCTAATTCCCCATTCTGCTGTTAGTTAGACATTTACAAACACTTTCCTATTAATACACTTGTTATTACTGCTTATTATTATGATAGTTGGACATTTTTGTCCATGAATTATGCTTCTAATGAGCTTTTGGCGCAAATAACGAAAAAGTACATTTCTTCTGATACTATTCCTTAACAACATCAAATTATTAGAATCATAACTCATGAACAAAAATGGCCTAGTATCATAATAATAAGCAGTAATAAGGAGTGTATTAATAGGAAAGTTTGTAAATCTCAAACTAACTGCAGAATAAGCTAATGGGGCAATTAGATATTAATCAGGGTTAAATAAATACTAATTAATGACAAATTAACCATTTATAACTATGCTAATTAGCAGGTAGTTAGATGTTAATAAGTGTACCTTAAAATAAAGTGAATACAGAATAACAGTAATTTCAATAGCTGAGACACTGTCAGATTATAAGAAAAATTTGATGAAAGGTTCTATATTACACAAAATTGATTCTTGTGAGTTTTAAGTCATGTTATAAAGTTCTTACGTCATAGGGTTAGTAACATAATTGGCACAAATGCAATGTTCTTCTAAAATACATATTATTTTGATGCTGATTTTAACATGTTACATCTGTCTCAACTATTATATTATCACATATGTATCTCACAGTACAATATTTATTGTGATATTTTGCTCATAATTGTAGATGGGACACTTTTTTGCTTTTATAATACCATGACAAGATTTTTGGTGTGAATTATTTCCATCATAATCCCAAGAATTCAAGAAAAAAACATATTTCTTCATGTTTTCTGCGCTGAAATGAATCATGGAATATGTAGTTCCCGATGTTTATAAGCTGTTGCTTCTATAAAACAATGCATTTAAGCAAAGGAACTTGTAATTCGATATATTGTGACAGTCCAATGATATTATTGTGAGACTTTTGACGATACGATATCACGATTTTGCAGTTATTGTTACGTCTCAAGTCTCAACCTTTAAAGGGCCCATATTACGCTACTTTCTGATCTGTTATAATGTTGTTTCCTCGACAGAAAACATTCCTGGAGTTCCACACATGTTCAGCTCAAGCTCAAAATGCTCTGTTCCAAACCTTGCGATGTCATGAAGCGGTAGTTTTCGAGTTAACAGCTCCGTTTTTCCTTTAGTTTGGTAAAGATGGGCAATTCCTGTATCACAAGGCCGACCAGGGTGTTTTCCGTTTTGAGAGAAGAACTGAAAATGCAGGGTTTGTGTGTTAAACATGTGAGAAGGAAACAAAACAAAACTCCAGGTATGTTTGTGATGAGGAAACAACATTATAACAGATCAGAAAATGGCACAATATGGGCCCTTTAAAGATTGAAACATTAAGACTGGCATCAAAATAATAGTTTTTATAAGTACAATCACTACTAATCTCCTGTTTTAGTCCATAATTAGTAGAATCCGTAATTATACAGAATACATATAAGTGTTTTTGTAATAACATTTGAGAACATTTACCAATTAAAATAATACAGGCTAGAACCTCAGTCACATTCTAATACTTTTTCCCAATTAAAAGATATATTATTTTTCTTTTAAACAGTTAATTGCTATGGTAACGGCCCTAATTTATCATCATTCTGAAACTCAAGGATATCAACAAGTATCCAAATTGATAAACAGGTTGAAAATGCATTAGTTTAAAGGGATTTGTATTCATTTGCAGTCATTTACAGTGTCTGAAACTTTTGAAATTAGAGTTATATAGTAAAAAAAAATATATAAAATGACTAAAATAGACTAAAATTTTGTTGTTTTAGGCACTGAAGAAAGGTTGAATTGCAAAAACAGACACCTGAGTTTTGAAAAATTTTCTCTTCTACAGATAATATCTATGACAACAATGTTTAGAGGGTTTTATCAAGAAGAGATAATATTTAGAGAGCAGTAAAATATATTAGAGAAAGGAAAATTGTAGTAGTAGTAGTAGTAAGAGTAGTAGTAGTAGTAGTAGTAGTAGTAGTAGTAGTAGTAGTAGTAGTAGTAGTAGTAGTAGTAGTAGTAAAGTAAACTAAAACTGCATCTGAATCTGATCACTTTTTAAAATGACACTTATCTGTTTTTGCAAATCAACTTTTCAATATCATAAGGTGCTGTTCGACAAACGCAGTAAACATACAGTATTTAAATAAAAATACCACAACCCTGAATTTAAAAACCTTATACGTTTTGACTTAAAGCTGCACTGTGTAACTTTTCTGATGTGAATGCGGCATCTGCTCGCACTTTTATTCTCTGGCTTTTAACACCGCGGGAGTTCTGTGGTCCTCTGTTGTCTTTTATTGCTTAGTTTTACAGATTATTTATTTTATTTATTTATGTATTTATTTGCTCTTATGGGTCTATTCTATGGTTTTATTTATTTGTTTTTACACTGCTGGTTTTATTTTGTTTTTATTGTGTTAAATTGTAGTTTAGGTTTTTTTTCTCTCTATGTGCAGCTCGTTGTAAACAGTCTTGATTCACGAATTGTGCTATAGAATTAAAGTGGCCTGGAAGTGAATTAGACTATTACTTAGCCTGGAAAGTTCCACAGTATGGCATTAAACTATCTCTCTTGCATGTATTCAATTACAGGTGTTTTTATTGCTCAAAAGTACCGTGAAAAACATGCTCCACAGATCTGAACTGTAACTTTTCTTCCATGGCCTTGCACAAAATAGATAATGCCATACTCTGGAACATTCCGAACATCACTATAGAGACAAGTAGGTGTCAAACCCTCCATCAGAAAGGTTACATAATACATCTTTAAAGTAAAAGTACTCTAACAAAACTTGAGTACAATGGTTGACTTCGCTACACTGTGTAACTTTTCCGGTGGAGGGTCCGTCACCTGCTTCTCTCCATGGATATGTTGCCTGGAATGTTCCACAGTATGGCATTACACTTATTTATCTCTACAGAAACAGAAAACGACACCACAGGGCCAAGCTACATGTCAGATCCGTGGAGAGGCGAGCCCTCTCTGAGTAAAAGCAAGTCGATAAAAACCCCTGTTATTGAGTAAATGCAACATGGAGACGTTTAATGCCATACCGGGACATTCAAGACAAAACAATAACATCTCCATGGAGACAAACAGGTGTCAGACACTCTGTCAGAAAGGTTACATAATGCATCTTTAAAGTAACAATACTCTAACATAACTTGAGTATAAATGTCGACTTTGCTACTCACATTTCTGAATTTAAGTTTCATTGTGTAACTTTTCCGGTGGAGGGTCCCTCACCTGCTTCTCTCCGTGGATATGTTGCCTGAAATGTTCCACAGTATGGCATTACACTTATTTATCTCTACAGAAACAGAAAACGACAACACAGGGTCAAGTTACATGCCAGATCTGTGGAGAGGCGAGCCCACTCTGAGTAAAAACAAGTCGATAAAAACCCATGTTGTTGAATAAATGCGGCATGGAGACGTTTAATGCCATACCGGGACATTCAAGACAAAACAATAACATCTCCATGGAGACAACAGCAAGTGGCGAATCTTCCACTAGAAAAGTTACACAGTGCACCTTTAAATATATTAGATAAACTGCATTATGATTGTTATTATGCAGAAAATGAAGTAGTTTGCTTCAATTGATTTTAGGCCACGTTTATATGACGACGGTCTGAACAGAAGACACAAAAGCAGCGTCGCGTCTTCACTTTTTATTCCGCATTTGAGTAAAAGTGTGTGGAATTTGACCGGGTATGCTTGCTTGGTGATGTATGTGACGTAAACGCGTACGCGACATGAGCAGATCTGACCAGAGTTTTGCGTCTTGGACAGTGTAGACGGAAACGCTACGGTGAAACGTGTTAAACTTTTCTAATCTGGAGGGTGGTTTCAGATTTTTTGTGTTTTTAAGCTCCCAAAAACACTGTCACCATCTAAACGAAAGGCACTTCTGATAAAATATTTTGTCGTTTTTACCCACAAGTGTTCTCGTGTAAACAGGCACTTATGCAGGTTTTATTGTTTTAGGAACAGCATGATCAAATATTTGGCAATTATACCTTTTGCGATTTTCTTTTTACAATCTCTGTGCAGATTTCAAAAACTGCTTTGTCTGTAAAATGTGCTGTATAAATAAAATTATTTGGATTTAGCTAAAAAGTACAATAAAACTCACTTCTATTTGGTACAATATTTAGTTTTGGCTTGGTTCTTGTACCTATATCTGTACATCACCTCACATGTCACAGCTGCTGCATGTTTAAAACCTTATATGTTTAGTTTGAGTGACAGCTTCCTCCCTCTCACGTGGCACAGTCTGGATCTGAACATAGCACAGATGTTTGCTTCATGGATTTCTGTCTTTGAGAATTACAGGAAACATCGGCTTGAACGGATTTTGACACGTGGTGAAAACAGTATTTACAGTGGTGATACTACGTTTTACAGGCGACGTTCTTTACATTCCGTTAAAAAATAATAAATAAAATTGTTTAAAAAAAAAACGCTAGATCTGACCATGTTGTTTATCGTGTTATAATGTTGTTTCCCCATCAAAAAAAGATGACTATGTGATTTAATTAAAGAAGACATACTGATCTAACGACTTAAATGTGCACTGATGTTTTTACTTTACCTCCAATCTTCCAAAATATGGCATTAAACTTTTCAGTCGCCGTAGAAACAAGAAAGAAATGCCGCCAGATCATTTACAGGCGAGATCTGTGAAGAGGTGACCCCACTCACAGTCAGAATGTGTGTTTTTAAAGCTGTTTTTAACAATAAAAACACACATAATCAAATAAATGCATCACTATCAAAGCAATACACTGGAAAAAAAAACAATATCTAGTTAAGTTAAAATGACTTAAATTAAGAACATTTTGCTTTAATTGAGTCGATTCAACTTGACAAGTAAAATTATCTACCAGTGGAATAAGTGTGTTTTTCTTAATTCAAGCAACACTCAATTTTGTTTCTTATTTGGAGTGCACAAAGTTTTCGTTTTTCTTATTTTAAGTGTAACAAGATGTAGTTTTCTATTTTAAGTAGAAAATGTCTTATTATTTAGTCATATTATTTTACTTGTCAAGTGAAATTTACTCAAATCATGATAAAACTTTCGTAATTCAAGTCATCTTAACTTGACTGGATTTTGATTTCTTGCAATGTAGCATCTCCATGATGTTATGCAGTGCACCTTAAAATAAAAAATTGTCCACTTGCTTATGTGTTAAAAAAACTGCGGAAGTCACAATAAACGTCATCGCAACAACACACCGCATGCTGTCAGTAAATCAGATTTTTTTTTTCATTTGTACCAAAATAACTACACGATGCTGCCGAATCCTAAGCGCATCACTGATTACGAAAATAAATTTGGCGAACGAAGAGCAGCGGGCGTGAACCGGTACAGGTGAAAACAGGGTTAGATTGGAGAAACATCTTGAATATAGAATATAATATCACTCTATATTCAACTTCGAGAGGGAAATGAGAAGGGGAAACAACTCTAATAAACGATAAACACTCTGAAAAGTCGATTTTGTACAATAGGTCTGCTTTGGTTATTGATGACTAAAGCTGAAAACGGAAATGCCTTTTAGGAATAAATAAAACTGACTGACTGATTATTTATCACAATCAAACATTCCCTTTTTCACAATGTAAAGGAGTAATAGTGGTTTATATTGTCTAAATAACTACAGAGATGACCCTTCGACCCGGTTTTTGGTCTAACACAGAACATAAAGCTCACATATGGAACTTTTATTCACGGTCCTGGTCGGGTCCATAGACTCTTTGGTTCTTGGTGTCACCAGTCTAAATGCAGGTGTGGATGTTGGTGAAGTTGACACACAAGCTCCTCTTCTGTCGGCTCCTGGATCTGCTCTCTGCACACAAAAAAAAGAAAAAAAAGTTAAAACTGAGTAAAAAGCAAATTGTAGACTGTAAAGTCCGAGTCCCCGGCGGTTCCGTGGGAGGGGAGAGAGCACCGGGCGAGGGCCAACATTAATTTAAATTTGTGTTTTTTTTTAGATAAATTAATTCACAGTGACATAATCTAGTGTAATAACGATAAAGCTAAAAAAAAATTCAGAATGTACAATGTGTTTTCAAAGTTCTCAATGTTTTTAAGTCACTTTTTGTAATTTACAGTTAGTTTAGAGTTTAGAGCCAAAATTTAGTAGAATAAACATGATTTTTTGTAATATTATTTGTCCAAACAATAGTGGAATTACTTTTAATATTTACTTTTTTGTGTTTTGGTCCTTGTGTAGTTACGCATTTCATTTATGAGTATTAGAATTACAAACATGCGTTGACTTACTTCACTAATGATATCCAAATCTCTCGATACGATATTATCACGATATGCATCTCACGGTATGATATTTATTGCGATATTTTGGAGAGGCCGATATAATTTTAGATAGGATGATTTTTTGCTCTAAAAATACCCTGACATAATTTTGGTGTGAATTATTACTGTCAAAATCCCAATAATACAAGTAAAAAACACACTTCTTCATGTTGTCCTGTGCTGAAATGAATCATGGGATATGTAGTTACTGATGTTTATTAGCTAGTGCTACTATAAAACAATGCATTTAAGCACAGGAACTTGTAATTTGATATATTGTGAAGCCTGTGAGACTTTTTTGGTTGTTTGTTTATTTACAAATTTTCATTGGGTTCCATTTTATGCAAAAACGATTATATACCACAAATCCGGGATCTCTGGTTACCATGGAGCTTTTGAGTGTTTACCCTTAAATTCTATAAACGTGCACTCACTTTAGGTCATTTTAACCCAAACTCAGCAAGCGAACACACACACTCAACAGAGCTCTGTGTCAAACATGTTCTCTACAATGAATTTCACCAATTTCAACGTGGACCAACAACTCAAACCCGAAAGCAAGTATCAGGTTTTGGACGTCCTCGGAGAGGGAAGTTACGGTATGGTCGCAAAGTGCCGAAACAGAGCAACAGGGGAACTTGTTGCTTTGAAACTCCTGAAAAATGTCGACCCCTACGCCAACAACTTCCACAAAGAGTTGGAGCTGTTGGATTGTATCAGAGAGCTAGACCCGGACACTTTCAATCTAGTGAAACTGGTGGATTTCTTAGACTACTACGGCTGTCCAGCTCTTGCCTTTGAGATGTTAGACATAAGTGTCTTCGATCTTCTGCAACAGACGAGGAGTTTTACGTTGAGCCAGATACGAACAATGGCGAAGCAGCTCTTCATAGCTCTAAACGGTCTGCAACATCTTGGCATAATGCATACGGACATCAAATTAGATAACATTATGCTTGTGAACCATAAGGAGCAGCCGTTCAAAGTCAAGCTGATAGATTTTGGTTTGGCAAAGTACCGTGACGAAGTAACAACTGGAAAAATGATGCAGCTGATTTGCTTTCGTGCTCCAGAAGTTACATTAGGCCTTCCACTATGGGAGGCTGTGGACATATGGAGTCTTGCCTGCTGCTTCCTGCATTTGTATTCCTGTGACACAGATTTCGTCGGTTATTCCCAGTTTGATTACCTGACGAGGACTGTGCAGTTTCTTGGGGTACCACCAGAGAAGCTGCTGAATGAGGCGCTGTACACAAAGATGTACTTTGTCCAGGAAAATTCCAAGTGGAGACTTAAAACTCTACAGGAGTTTATGACAACAACTGGGACGTTTCCTAAAATGCCAATTACCGAGCCGACAGCCACAAACCTAAAAGAGCTACTCAAATGTTCTAGGCGTTGTCTGTCATATCAGGAAAAAAGAGACATGAAGGAGTTTCACAACCTGCTTACTAAAATGTTTGAATTGGATGCGGAGAAGAGGATCACGCCATCAAAAGCCCTGCTCCATCCATTCATAACCATGGCTCACTTACCTGAAAGGGGACGAGTACACAAAGACGGCTCGTGAGTTGATGCGTGTTACCGAGGCTGAGTTTGTACCACCACAACAGAAAAGCTATGAAACTGAAGGCTGGAGCGACTTCAACCAACCAACTACACTCTCTGGTGAAATTTCATTCTGCGTGTCAAAAAACATGGCTGAGTTCCTGGGTGTACACACAGAAAGACCAACAAAGCCAGTCACGTGTGCTTCAGATGACAGTATTGTCAATGACAGTAAAGCCTCCAAGTCCTTCCTCGACAGGCTGATTCCTCGTCCTCTCCGGATGTTGTTTTCGGGGATGTCTAAGCTTCTGAGACCAAAAAAGCCAGTCTTCAGGAAACCAAAGAGGGTCAAACGTATTCCAGTGTTTAAGAGACGGTCCACCACATCTGGGCCTTCTGAACACTAGACCCACCAACAACAAGAACTTTTCTCTGTGTTGAATAAATGAATAAATGTTATTGCAGAAAAATATTTGAGCTTTGAATTGTTGTGATTTATCTTTTATTGAGTTAGCCAAAAAATTTGTTACATTTTCTATAAAAAGCACTTTATAAAGTTTAATTTGATGTGAATATTATGCAGCCAGAATACCTTTTAAATCATGCATTCTAGTAGTAGTAGTCAGTGTTGGGAGTAACGCGTTATAAAAGTAACAACCTACTCTAACGCATTGCTTTTTGCTGTAACACAGTGATGTTAGGCATTACAGGGAAATAATAGTAATATTTTTCATGGTACAAATGTTAGTAACGCATGTTACAAGCTTTTTTTAACCTGGATTGAAGTGGTGGGTTTTTGTTTATACAAATTTGCTAAAATTACCGTGATATTAGCAGCGATAAACACCAGAGACGCGCCCGCATAGACTGTCAGGTAACCGCGAGCGAAAGGACCGGTGCAGACGTCTGCGCTGCACGGGGCGAACCGCAGCTGACGCCCAATCATGCTTTGCAGACACCCTGTCCACGGACTCGGGGTTCTCTCAGGGGTGGTCCTAGATTCCAAGTTCTAGTACAAGATTAGTCCTGGTTTGGTCCTGCTTTAGTCCTGGTCTAGACCCAGTTTAGACCTAGTTTAGTCCTGGTTTAGTCCTCGGTTCAATCCTGGTTTAGACCTGGTTCAGTCCATATACGGTGCAAAAGTTCAGCATCTTCACAGATATTTTGATGAGAGTAACTTAAAAGTAATGCAATAGTAATGTAATGTTTTACATTTTAAATACAGTAATATTATAATATAACAAATTACTTTGAAATGACAGCAACAAGTCATAAATAACACATTACAGTTTTAAAGTAACTTGCCCAACAGTGGTAGTAGTAGTTTATTACATAGTCTACAACCCCATGGATCATGACAGAAAGAGTTTAAGCTTAAGTAAAAAGTACTTATAACGCCAATCACTATTAAACAGGGTATTAAGGTGGGTTTCAGATTATATTATTTTGAATTTATTATGACCATTTATATTTTTACCATTTACATTTTTACTCGTCGCGGATGGAAATGATCAGGTTCAACATTTGTGAATTTATCCTTTGGAAATGTCATGGAAGATTTCATGGCTTGTCCCTCATCACGTTCTAGAGTCTGAAAACGACCAATATTTTTATCGCCCTTTAGGTAAATTTGTTGTTTTTCAGTGTTGCTAGAAAAACTTGAGCAGTGGGTGACCATAATGCACCACTTTGGGACCCATCTCCAGATCTTAGCCTGGTTCCCTGTCCAGACTCAAGAGGACCTCCCTGTAGGTCGTGAGCCACCTGTGAATGAAGGAGCACCTACTTGAACATGAGCTGAACCGACGTCTCATATCTGATCCGCTCCACGTCCATGACAGAACAGCTGCAACTGCGGTCCCATTTATAAATAAAGTTCTGCAAAAAAAAAACACAGAATATATTTGATTGAAACAGGACTACAGGGCAAATGGTCTGCAAATATATGTTCCTTTGATAATGAATCCGTGTATCATTCATTCATTTGTTTTTCAATATAAAACCAAAAAAAAATAATGAAAAAAAAATGAATAAATAACAACTTTTTTGTTTTTAATTTTGTGTTTAAATGAATAATGGAAAAAACGGATAATGACTTTTTCCGTGACTTAAACTGCGATGCCGGACTTTTGCGCCGCATACGGACTGATCCAAGACTGAACCAGGACTAAAACAGGACTAAACTGTTTTCAGTCCTGGTCTGGTCCCCCTCTCAGTCCTGGTCGGTTTCAGGTCAGTGGTCCCGGTCTCACGGTCTCAGTCCGGTCTCAGTCACGGTCTCAGTCACGGTCTCAGTCACGGTCTCAGTCACGGTCTGGTCCTGGTCTGGTCTCGGCCTCAGTCCTGGTCTCAGGCTGGGTCTGGTCCCGGCCTCAGTCCCGGTCTCAATCACGGTCTGGTCCTGGTCTGGTTCCAGTTTCAGTCCTGGTCTCAGTCTCGGTCTCAGTCCCGGTCTAGTTCCGGACCTGTTTTAGTCCCGGTTCAGTCCGTATGCGGCGCAAAAGTCCGGCATCACAGTGTAAGTCACGGAAACGGGAAATGGTCATTTTCCATTTTTACCATTTTTCATTTAAACAGAAAATCGAAAACTGAAAAAAAGAATCGTTATCCGTTTTTTTCATTTTGATTTTGGAGACAAATCATGAAGAAAATAGTTGTTTTGTCGTTTTCTTATTTTTGGTTTTATTTTGAAAAAGGAATGAACAGATTATCATGGCTTTGTTCACATCATTATCTGATTTCTGGAGTTATCTGATTAACAACTCACCTCGAGGATCAGAGCTACAAACAGATTAACCCACATGACAGAAGACGTGAGCCACCAACCCACAAAGTAGATCTTTGACCACCTGAAAACAAAACAAAAATAAGACTGGGTAAGGCCATTAGAGAAAATCTAAAACTGTCTATCAGATGGTTGGTTGGTGGACTTCAAATGTGGAGCTAAACTAGGACTAGACCAGGACTGGACCAGGACCAAACCGAGTCTACCTGGGAGGACAAACTTGGGCTCAAACTCTTACTCCACTGTGTTATTGTCACCACTCTTGTTGCAATTTCTTATGTCTTTTTTTTTACTTTAAAGGTGCTCTTTGAAAATAATATTAGTTAAGTATTGTGACTAAAAATGTTTACTAAAAAAAATGGGGGAAAAAAAAAAAAATTTAATTATAAACTGGCCAAAATACAAACATAAGGGAGCCTACCACATTACTTTTATTTAATTTAAATGTTGTATTCTGTTGTCTTTAATTAAAAAAAAGGCGCTCTTTACAAAATGTGTTATGTTATGTTATGGGTGGTTATTGCCAAAAAATAAATAAAAATCAGTACATTGAAAGTCCTGATTCATTCTTACTGTGAGCATTGCAGCCTTTCCACAGATTCATGGAGATTGATAAATTAAATTGAACACAACAAAGCAATAACATTTCCGTTGAGGCAAGCAGGTAGCAGAGCCTCCAACAGAAAGGTTACAGAGTGCACCTTTAAAGAAATTGCAAATACCCTAATCCACAGAACCATAGTCGTACTCACTCTGTGGTGTATCTGCTGTAGGCCTCCACAAAGGCCTGCCAGTTATTGACGATCATGACGTCGTACAGGAGGATCAGAGCAGCCTGTGGAGACAAACACACACTGTAGAGTCTAGAGAGTCTTTAGTCTATATCAGCGGTTTTCAAACTGGGTGAATGTGAGCTTCTCCTTAGAGTAGGTAAAGATAGCCGAGCCCCCCTTGCCCAAACTCCCATCTGCCTGTCCTCCCAGACACAGGCCCTTGAAGTAAATGCATCTTTTCCTCCAATGATGAGTTTCAATAAAAACTGATAATATATATATATTTTTTATATTGTATTTTCATATATTTTTTAAAAAATGCATTCATAAACATTTTTTTCAAAGAGCAAATTTCCAAATCATTTCCAACTTCATGCAAGCGACTTTTAACATCACTGAACATCAGTAGGTCACCAGGACTAAACCAGAACTAAACCAGGTCTAAACCAGGACTAATCCAGATCTAAACCAGGACTAAACCAGGTCTAAACCAGGACTAAACCAGGTCTAAACCAGGTGTAAAAACAGGTGTAAACCAGGTGTAAACCAGGTGTAAACCAGGACTAAATGCAGGACTAAACCAAGTCTAAACCAGGACTAAACCAGGAGGACTGAAGCAGGACTGAAGGATGAAAACAGGACTAATCCAGATCTAAACCAGGACTAAACCAGGTCTAAACCAGGACTAAACCAGGTCTAAACCAGGACTAAACCAGGTCTAAACCAGGACTAAACCAGGTCTAAACCAGGTCTAAACCAGGACTAAACCAGGTCTAAACCAGGTGTAAACCAGGACTAAATGCAGGACTAAACCAAGTCTAAACCAGGTCTAAACCAGGACTAATCCAGGACTAATCCAGGACTAATCCAGGACTTGACCAGGACTATTCTTGGACTTGAGAGAGAGGGAGAACCCCAACCGACCAGGACCAAACAGAGTTTAGTCTTGGTTTAGTCCTGGTTTAGTCCTGGTTTAGACCTGGTTTAGACCTGGTTTAGACCTGGTTTAGACCTGCTTTACACCTGGTTTAGTACTGGTTTAGACCTGGTTTAGACCTGGTTTAGTCCTGGTTTAGTCCTGGTTTAGACATGGTTTAGTCCTGTTTTCGTCCTAATTCAGTCCTGCTTCAGTCCTCCTGGTTTAGTCCTGGTTTAGTCCTGGTTTAATCCTGGTTCAGTCCCGCTTAGTCCTGTTTTAGTTCTGGTTCAGTCCTGGTTTAGTCCACGTGTGTAGCGCCTCTCCGGTGACTCTTTAGCACCTGCCAGGGAAGGCGGGCCTCACCTACTGGAACCCGCTGGTCTACAGAGTCAATAGAGTCTCAACAGGTGAAGAAAGCAAAGCATCTATAATGGGCCTGTCATAACAAATTCTGAAGTGTGATGTATTGCTGAAGAAAATACAGACGATAATCTTGAAACTAACTTATGCCACTGACACAAAAACACAGATATAAACCACAAAAACTGTTCTAAATGTACAATATTGTTAAAAACCCTCACGCTGTAATAAATAAACATCACGATAAAACACTAATACTGAGTTTGCATCTGTAATGAATCATACAAGTTATTTATTCAACCTTGTATGTCTTAAATCTGATCATATAGCCAGAAAATAACCAAAAAAATCCCCATGCAGACATGATAAATAATGGCCCCAAAAATATACTGTTCCAGCTTTCATATATTAAACGAGAAATCAATACAGTATTTATCGTGACAGGCAAAATCTGTAACATGGATGCTATATTTATTATGCTTAATTCACCCTGTACTTGTCCTGTTCTGTTTTTATTACTTATTTTCTGTTTTATTTTTTTATTGTACATATAAATTTACGTAATTATACCTTATTTGACACGTCTCTTGTTATTTTTTTGCTACTTATTTAGAATTTATTATTATCTTGGCCCAAGTAATTTCCCTTGTGGATCAATAAAGTTTGTCTAAGTCTAAGTACTTGTTAACAAATTATAGTTAAAGATGCATTGTGTAACTTTTTGTCTGGGGGTCCGTCACCTGCTTGTTTCTATGGATACGTCATTGCTGCGCCTGGAATGTTCCACAGTGTGACATTAAACAGCTATTCTTTACATTTATTCAATTACAGCTGGTTTTATAGCTCAAAAATAGCTATAAAAACAGACATTCTGACTCTGACTGGGATCGCCTCTCCACAGATCTGAGCTGTAACTTGGTCTGGTTTGGTCTCCGTAAGATAGAAAGGTTTAATGCCGTACTGTGAAACATTCCAGACAAAGCAAAAGTTACACAATGCATGTTTAAAATGTTCAGACAGGTTGAGTTCTTATGAAACAGTTTCAGTAAAATGACACACGCTCCAGGCTCCGTTTTACTGTAAAAGACACAAAAGTTGCTCCAGGTTAGACTCGTACTAGACTCGTACTCACAGCGAAATCGTCAAAGTTGTTGGGCCAGTACTCCAGCTGTTCGTAGGTACCACAGACCATACTGTAGTTAGTGGTGATGTTTTCCATTGTCGAGTTAGAAAGAACACTGAAAAAACATTAAATAATAAACACAGAATAAGCAAAAATAGTTAATAAGATCCAGTGATTTAAAGAGATATGAACAATATTAAATAAGGAATGTTAAATGTTGCTGCATATTCAGTTTAAAGTAAGATGTCTGAGACTTTTTCACATGTACTTGTAACCTGTACTATCTTGTATCCTATACTCACTTATACTTGTAATCTGCACTATCTTGTATTTGTAAGCAGTATTAAATTGTATTTGTAACCTGTTCTATCTTGTAACCAGTACTTGTACTTGCAACGTGTATTCACTTGTATTTGTAACTAGTAATTGTACTTGTAACGTTTACTAACCTGTACTTGTAACCTGTCCTATCTTGTAACCAGTATTCACTTATACTTGTAACCTGTATTCACTTGTATTTGTAACCAGTAATTGTACTTGTGTAACATGTACTGTCTTGTATTTGTAACCAGTACTTGTACTTGTAACCTGTATTCACTTGTATTTGTAACTAGTAATTGTACTTGTAACGTTTACTAACCTGTACTTGTAACCTGTCCTGTCTTGTAACCAGTACTTGTACTTGTAACCTGTATTCACTTGTATTTGTAACTAGTAATTGTACTTGTAACGTTTACTAACCTGTACTTGTAACCTGTCCTATCTTGTAACCAGTATTCACTTATACTTGTAACCTGTATTCACTTGTATTTGTAACCAGTAATTGTACTTGTGTAACATGTACTGTCTTGTATTTGTAACCAGTACTTGTACTTGTGACCAGTAATTGTATTTGTAACCTGTACTATCTGGTATTTGTAACCAGTAATTGTACTTGTAACCTGTACTATCTTGTATTTGTAACCAGTACTTGTATTTCTAACCAGTAACTGTACCTGTAACCTGTCCTATCTTGTTTTGTAACCAGTACTTGCACTTGTAACCTGTAACCTGTACTAACCTGCACTTGTAACATGTCCTATCTTGTAACCAATACTTGTACTTGTAACCTGTACTATCTGGTATTTGTAAGCAGTAACCAGTAAGCAATGTTAAATTGTACATTAAAAGTATTTGGCAGTTCCAAGAGACAAGCAAAATGTGTAGCAATACGAGCATGGTATTACAATAAAATACTGTCACAATATTAAAGACGCACTACGCAACTTTTCTAGCTCCTTTTTCCCCATTGAGATGTTATTGATTTGCCTGGAATGTTCTATAGTACGGCACAAAGCTTATCTATCTCCATGGAGACACAAACGTTTTAAAGGTATCTTTTGGGCAAAAAGCAAACAAAAAACGCACCTATCATAAACTCAAGATAGATAAGTTTAATGCCATACTTTGGAACATTTCAGGCAAAGCTGTAACATCTCAATGGAGACAAGCACGCAGCAGACCCACCCCCAGAAAAGTTACGTAGAACATCTTTAACTTAAGTATATTGAAGGGGCTCCTGAGACTAAAATGTTTTGTTTTGTTGCAGGGGAATAGCCAAAAAGGATGGAATTTTCCCCCTCGTTTTAACATCTTTTTTCATTTTTTATCATTTTTAAAAATTAATTCAGTCGTAATAAAAGCAAATAATAATGGCTTTCAGTATTTATGTCCTGTACATCAATATCATTTAACAAAAGTCTTAACTTTACTGTTTACAACTGCAGTAACACTGGTTTGTACTAATGCAAGCCTATATTGCCCCCTACTGTTTGATTTAGGTACAACATGTAGTGATACTTGAGTGTATTTTTTTGTACCCGGGATGTGGAGGAGGTTTGATGACTCCTTCGAAAAGCCAGATCCCAACCACAGCGTATATGTAGTAAACCACCTGAACAAAAGGACATCACAGTTCAGGAGACACGGATAATCTTTAAGAAAATGGTGAACAGTTTTATATTGAATACACTGAACTCACCACCAGTATTCCTGCAAAAGCTCTGAGGTTTTTGACCAGGTCCATGAGAGTGCTGGCAACGAGAGCCATGAGCTGCAAGAAATTAGTTAGAATAGTTTCAATTTCACATAATATATATAAGAAAAACAATAATGCATTTAGAAGAGAGGGTGCCAGTCTGTCAGTTCAGTGTAAAGTATAAAGTTGCTTGAAATGTTTTCAGATGTGTAGTACAACCTTGTACTTGTATATGTTGAAATACTTTTGTATTTCTGTGTCATATTTGTACCTTGATGTCTGGGATGATCCTTAAGAAGCGGAAAGACGATGAGCATGTTTATCAATCGAACCATCTCCCAAAGAGAAACCATATTGTGCCTCTGTGGATCCCTGTACAATGGATTTATTAAAGTTAAAATACACAAATATACAGCTGTAGTACAAATATTTGAGCTCATTTCATTTTTTGAGCAGGTTATGCTGTAGAAGTATAAACTGTACTCCAAGCCAGTCTGATAGTATAGTAAGTATAGTATAGTAAAAGCAGCTGTGTTTTGTTAATATTATAACTATTTTCATGCACTGATTTAGCTTCTTCCAAATTATATAAATAGAGGAGTGTATAATTATTTTATTACTATAGTTGGTATATTTGCTTTTCTGTCTTTAAAGTTGACACTGAACTTACCAGGGGGACAATGGAGCCTTGTAGAAAGCGTACATGGTGATCTGCAGACACTAAAATACAAGAAAATATGTTCATCAAAAATAAGACGTGCTTAAGAAATTGCCTAAAATAGTTACAAATATATTTTTCTCCTAAAGTTTTACAGTGTATTTTTTTCTGGTGGTGCGTCTGCTGCTTTTTTAGAAATAAAAAGAAATACAAATGTCGGAAAGATACGTTTAATGTGATACCACGGAACATTCCAGGCACGGCAATGTCACCTCTATGGAGTTAAAGATGTGGCTGACCTTCCACCAGAAAAGTTACATAGTGCAGCTTTAAACAGAGGCACAGTGGCGTATTTACCAGCAGCAGAATTGTCAGGATTCCATCAAACACGTTGTTCCTGTAGGAGACGTAGCCCCTCCATCCAAAAGCAAAGAGTTTGGCGCTCATTTCAAACAGATAATACAAGATGAACACCAGGTTTATCAGCTGAAAACAGAGAAAATATAATAATGGACTTTTAATGGTTATTTAGGCTCACAATTTCAGATTTCTAATTAAACGCACTGTACCTGATTTTTACTTAAAAACATGGAAAACAGAAGAAATTCATTTAACAGTTTGCAGCGCTTCGAAGTTATTCCTCATTTACCTTTTTTAATTATTCACCACAATGAGTTTCTAAGCATTTTTCACATCTTTCTCAAAGACCAGAATACACATTACATTACATACAAATTACATTAAAGCACATGTGGCAAGGTCAAGGCCCACAAGGGGTTAAAAGGTATAATTTATGATTATGTCGTGACTCTGCGCCGCTACTACATCCCCCACAATGCACCGCAGTTGTTTCCCGTGAAGTGACTGCATCTCCCCACTAGAGAGGCCAAGAAAACTCATCAAATTTCCCCAAAAATGTCCAACAAAAGAAGCACTGACAGTTATTTCGTGAATGTTACAGAAGGAGTAATGTGAATGTTTTAACTTAAACCTTTAAATCAAATCCAGTCCACATTTCATAAACAAAACAGTTTCCCAAGTGCTGCACAATACAGAAAGTAAAGTGCTACTTAACTCTACTAGTCCTTATTAAGACAAAAAAAACTAGCAAAATCAAATAAGAGCAAGAATACCAGTAAATAATAAAACAGTAAAAAAACATAAAAATAAACAAAATGAATACTGATATTACAGTTACAGTTTCAGTCTTAACTTTACAACCGGTCCTTTGATGACAAACATGATCCAAATGTGACCCTTTGTAAAAATAATTTTGACACCCCTGCATTAAAGCTATCAGCAAATAGCATGCTAAAAGCGCACTTCCTGATACTCTGACAATAAAATGTGAGGTACACTTTAGATTATAGTACACAGCTGACTTATTTTGACCTTATACAAAATTATCTGTACAGGGGCAAGACACACTTTGCTCAAATACATGGGAATAAGTCAGGTACAGGGCCTTTTAAATAACAGTTTGCAAAATGTTAATTGGATGTTCAAAAGTTTGTACTGATAGTTATTTATTTATTCAACTCACCTCCATGTAGAAGTTGTCTCTCTCAGCAGTGGATTTCTCAGAGTTTAGCATCAAAATAGTCTAAACAAAACAAAACAAAACAAAACAAGGAAAAGTCTTGTTATTTTAATTGGAATAATTTGTTTTTTATTCCTAGTAAATACTTTAATTTTGAGTTACAATAACATTTATATATGATTTCTATAATTCAATTACTGCATTATATCAAACATAATTTTATACAACAATAATTGACTTGAATCATTTAATATGTAACTGATTTTCTAGTCTGAATGCAGAAGGGTCTGGAAACATAAAGACAATCGCTCTTATTAGGGATAAATCTATAACTTTTTTTTTTTTTAACCACACTTTTACATAGTTTACTGCTTCGACTGTTGATTCTGCAGAAATCTGTGCCGTTTCTCAATCCTCTGTGTTATTATTTCACTTTTATTTGTACGTTTATTTAGTTTTTATTATTTAGCTTTTATTATTTAGTTTTTACTTGCTGTTTTTATCATAGACTCTATATATAAGTGGACGCTAACGGTGATATCACATTCGTTTAGTTCACTTTTTTATACAGTCTATGGTTTTTACTTCATTTGTTTTGACACAAACAGACCGTGCATTTCTCAAATGGGTTATTCTGCCTGTAGGGGGCGTGATGGCACAGACTGACAGCCTTACTTCTGTCAGCTGTAACTTTAACAATCACCACAGAATGAATAAATACTTCAACATAAAGCCTCTTTGATTTGACTACGCTGCATATATAACGTTCATCATTGCTTTTTTATACTGAGAGTAGAGTTGAACGTACACAGATACATATGACGTTAGCCAGAGCCACGGCGTTTCCGAGGACGGTGAGGGCGTAGTGACTGAAGGCTCTCTGTAGAGTCTGTAACACGGGCGAGCGGTATTCAGGCAGAGGAGGGTGCTGAAAACAGAAAGAAAATTATGACCAAAACTCCAGTATTAATCAGAATAATCGTGACTAGTCAGGTATTAAAATAATATTCAAGCAATTGTTCTTCAGCATCGGCGCATGTTGGGATGGGTTTATATTTTTGATGATTGTTGACATTGTTAATGATTGATGTTCACGTGGATATCAATTTACTGACATCCTTACTGTGGAACATTCCAGGCAAAGCAATAACATTTCCATGGAGACAATTAGGAAGCTACCTGAAAAGTTGTATAGCGCACCTATACTTAGTTGTTATTTGCACTATAAAGAGTCAAAGTGCTTTAAAAACTAAGACGGTAACATTTTTCTATATCAAAATATCAAAAAAATAAATTAAAAAATTGACAATTTGTAATATTCATCGATAATACACTTTATTTGTTGTTCTTTCTCTCTTTTTTAGAAGCCTTGAGTTAAAATTACCTTAATCTGATTCAAATCTACTTAACAAAATCCAAATTTCCAATAGAAATCATCATTTTACAAGTCAGCTATCATAAAATAATTGTTAGTTACACTCTAATGTGGACACAGCATAAGAAAACATAAAAATATATTGACAATTTTTACCTCTTTGATTCTGTCTTTGTCCAGTTCGTCAAAAATCTTCCTGAACTGTTCTCGGTCTAAGAATTCATGACGTCGAGCCTCCTACAAAATACAAATTAAATTATTATCTGCTGTCAAATAGTTCACACAACATATAACAAAGTATATATGTATTTGACGGTAAATGAAACAGGACAGACCTTTATAATGGCTTGTTTGTAGTATTCGTTTAACTTGACTTTGGACAAGACTTTGAGCACAGAAGACACTTGGACACAGGTGGGCTGGCTAAAAAAAAAAAAAACCAAAACAATAATTGCTACAAACGTTACAATATAAAATTTTTGTATTATGATTACTGTGAGAAAAACATCATGATTTCACAATTATTCAAAGGCATTTGCACTAAACAACAGCAAAATCACATTATCATTAAGAGATGGAGAGCCTATAATATTTAGGCTATAATGAACAAATCACAATGTTATGCTGAGTATTCGTTTGTAAATCATTCTAAAGAATTTAAAGCGTACCACATTATTGATAATACAGAATCAATAATTGTAATTACATTTTAGCCAATTGTAATGCATTACAATACACTAGAAAAGAGTCCAAAGGGGATAATTTGGTGTTCCGATACTTTATGTTACTAGGTTCTTTTTTCAGACCAAGGGTTTGTTTGTTTTCATATCTGACAGTTGAAAACAAACCCTTGGTCTGATAAAAGCACCTGATGACATACACTTGAAAACACAAAAAATTCTATAATATTCAAAATTTTCTGGGGAGGCCCTCTTGGTAACTAGAAAAGTATTCTAGCCCAGTGGTCCCCAACCTTTTTTTGCGGCGGCACAGACCGGTTTTATGTCCGACAATATTTTGCAAACCGGGGAGGGCGCAGTCCATGCGGCATGGTTTAGTCCTGTTTAAATCCTGTTTTAGTCCTGGTTCAGTCCTGGTTCAATCCTGTTTTAGTCCTGGTTCAGTCCTGGTTCAATCCTGGTTTAGTCCTGGTTTAGTCCTGGTTTAGACCTGGTTTAGATTTGATTTTACTCCTGGATTTAGTTCTGGTTTAGAGGTGTGGGAAACATGAAAGGAGGCGCGGTATAAGCAAGAAGACACTGTCCACGAGGCGCAAAGGAGAAGACACGGTCCACACAGCGTATGGGAGGGGTTTGCGCTTTCGCAGCCCAGTACCAAATGACCCACGGCCTGGTACCAGTCCACGGGTTCTAGCCTATTTATTGTGGCTCTTGGCTTTCTCAGCCTCTGTACAGCCTTTGTACTTCACTCACTGTCTGATTTATGTTATACAGATACATGTTGTAGAATGTTTTTAATCAATAGTCAGACAGGCAATGAAGTGTGAGAGTCTCCACGCCAAATTTAGCTTGAGGGCCCCTGAAAGTTAGAGCTGGCTGTGTATAGATTTAATTGCATCAGGAGTGTGTGTACGCTTCATAAATAAGAGAATAATCCAGTCTTACTCCTCTGTGGTCTTCTCCTGTCTGCAGCTCAGGACCTGAAAAGCAGCTCTGATCCCCAGTCTCCTCCTGATGATGGACGTCTGAACCGACATCTGACAAAAACACAGGAGATTATATATACCCAGTTAAAACAATGTAAGCATAGAAGCAATATGGGAATATATACAGTATATTGAGGCAAACTGAAAATTATACATTAATTTTAAATAGCATCCCTAAAATTGCTTTAAAAATAGTATGATTATGATAGTTTGCATTTTGTTCATATTAAATTGCAATATTTATGTAAAACTACTTCATATTTGACTTCAGTGTAGCAACTATAGGATTTTTCTTTTTCTTTTTTTTATTGACAGTATTTTGTACTGAAAAAGGTTTACACACCAGAGTTTCTGAACCCTATGTATCTGACAAGCAAAAGTAACTCCACTTAACTCTCAGAGACAAGAGCGGAGTCAGGGTTAAGCTAACAACAACTGGCATGCAAATCGCACACTTCCTGATGCTCAGACAATAATAAAACACTTTGAAGACAGTACACGGGGACCTATTTGAACCTCAAGAGTTGCTCGTACAATACGCCAGTACTGGGTTTTAGTTATTTTTTTTAGCTCAAATACTTGGAAAACACCGGATAATTAACATGTAAAAAAATCTATTCAAAAAAAAGAAATAATAGTTGTACTTGTCTATGTATTTGACAAGCAAAATTTAATATTTGACTCCAAAACTGTAAACAACTTTGTTCTAAGTGTGATCTCACCAGTAAATATCCTCTGAACTGGTTGTAGATGATGGCTGTCAGTAGATTCATCAGGCAGTAGGTTCCTGTGGACAAGAAATGAATTAAACCTTTAAACTAAAAGAATAAATAAGCAAACATATTTACGACTAACATTACTACTATTGCTACTAGTTGAACCTTTAAACTATTGTAACAAATAAATAAAATATCAAAGTATTATATAAATGAGCATAAACTGACCAATGACGCTGAAAAACATGAAGAAAAAGAAGTATCCTCGGTTCAGAGAGTAGGCAGGAATCATGACTGAAACACAAAACTCACAAAGTCAGTATAAAAGTAAACGTGGCCTGTCTTCACTGTAATAATGCGTCTCTTCACCATCGGGGTTGTTGGCGGTGGTGAGCAGGACCAGTAAAGAGGTCAGAGAGTTGGGCAATCCTCTAAAGTGAGACTCCCACTCGCCGTTTTTGGACGGATCCTAAAACAGTTTAACAAAGATGCATGGTTACACAAAAAATATTAATTTATTTAAAACAAGGACAATTCCCAAATTAAGAAAAGAGGCTCTGCACAAGATTTAGCTACAAGATGGTTTGATCTGCAATCTTTTGGTCCTTATTCCTCACCTATGGGGGTAAAACTGAGTAAAACCTACGTGGTTTGATGGTTATTCAGCTAGAGTTTTTTTCTTTTTTATAGTTATAATGTTTGACACACATAATATGCATTTAACATAGTAAAAAAGGGGTTCATTGACATCGACGGCGTATGGGAGGAGGCGCAGTGCATGGTTTGAGTCCTGGTTTAGTCCTGGTTTAGTCCTGGTTTAGACATGTTTTAGTCCTGGTTTAGACCTGTTTTAGTCCCAATTTAGACCTTGTTTAGACCTGTTTTAGTCCTGTTTTAGTCCTGGTTTAGTACTGGTTTAGTACTGGTTTAGATCTGATTTAGACCTCTTTTAGTCCTGGTTTAGACATGTTTTAGTCCTGTTTTAGAACTGTTTTAGTCACTGTTTTAGTCCTGTTTTAGTCCTGTTTTAGTCCTAGTTTAGACCTTGTTTAGCCCTGGTTTAGTCCTGGTTTAGTCCTGGTTTAGACCTGTTTTAGTGCTGTTTTTGTCCCGTTTTAGTCCTGGTTTAGACCTGGTTTATTCCTGTTTTAGTCCTGGTTTAGTCCTGGTTTAGACCTGGTTTAGACCTGGTTTAGTTCTAGTTTAGTCCTGGTTTAGACCTTGTTTAGTCCTGGTTTTAATTCTGGTTTAGTCCTGGTTTAGAGGCGTGGTCCAATCAGCGTATGGGAGGAGGCATGGTCGGTGCAGCGTATGGGGGGGTGGGTCTCGCTTTCGTGGCCTGATACCAAACGACCCATAGCCCGGTACCGGTCCACGGTCCGGGGAGTGAGGACCCCTGCTTTACAGGATAGTCCTACAGAGATTTATAACCTGTTCTTTTCCATGTAATTAGGGAGTGCTCTGTCTTTTTTACGGACACAGCCAAAGTCATTACACAGATCACATCCTGTTAACGACGGCAGACCTTTTCTTTGATCACACATTTCTTCACACCGGTCTGACAGGAGCTCCAGTGTAATTATCACTAAAGTGCAACAAACCAGAACAATATCTCTCCTGTTTGAGCTTAATGTATTGTGTGCACTGTTTATGACGACTATACATTTTACACTGGGACTGTATCTAGTTATTCCTAATGTAACTGGCCTAAATGGTCTCCGAAAACATAATGTAACATAATATTCCTCTGCATTTTAAAACAGTGAACACAATAAGACAGAAATTGGAAACACCCCAAAGACAAAACACCAACACAAAAACAGTAGTATCAAATTTGGGCGTGCAGTTCACTTAACTTAACTGTTCACCTTCATCTTAAAACCCAAACTACTAATCTGAAAATAGTCAATGAATGAAGGATTACGCTGTGACATATTTAAAGGTCTTATAGAAAAAGAAAAGAGCCTAAAAGTGCAGGGTTTGTGTGTTAAAACAAAACACAACTCCAAGTATGTTTGTAATGAGGAAACATTACAACACAAAAAAGCCTAATATGAGTTAAGGCTGAAAGATTTTAAGAAAAAAATTGAGTTGCGATTTTTCTGGCAGAGATTGCGATTTCGATTTCATCCAAGATTTTTTTCAAATCAAGTTTCAGTGCAAACATCACAGAAACTTGCATCATACCAGAGTCCTGCACCGGGTCGGGTTCCTGCGTGGACTAAACTAGGACTGAACCAGAACTGAACCAGGACTGAACCAGAAGGGCTAAACTAGGATTGAACCAGGACTAAAACAGGACTGAACCAGGACTGAACCAGGACTGAACAAGGACTGGACAAGGACTGAACCAGGACTGAACCAGGACTGGACAAGGACTGGACAAGGACTGGACAAGGACTGGACAAGGACAAGGACTGGACAAGGACTGAACTAGAACTGAACCAGAAGGACTAAACTAGGATTGAACCAGGACTAAAACAGGACTAGAACAGGACTAAAACGGGACTAGAACAGGACAAAAACAGGACTGAACCAGAACTGAACCAGGACTGAACCAGAACTGAACCAGGACTGAACCAGAACTGAACAAGGACTGAACAAGGACTGAACCAGGACTGAACCAGGACTAAAAGAGGACTGAACCAGAACTGAACAAGGACTGAACCAGGACTGAACAAGGACTGAACCAGGACTGAACCAGAACTGAACCAGATCTGAACCAGGACTGAACCAGAACTGAACAAGGACTGAACCAGGACTGAACAAGGACTGAACAAGGACTGAACAAGGACTGAACAAGGACTGAACCAGGACTAAAACAGGACTGAATCAGGACTGAATCAAGAATACGCCAGGTCTAAACCAGGTCTTTGATTAATTATTAACGTTTTTATATTAAAATGATCATCATTATTATTTTTATTACTAATCTGCAAAAAATAAACTAAACTTTACAACATATAAACCACAACCACTCTAGAGCCACGTCAGCCCGTTTGACATTATAATGTGTTTAATTCAGCTTTGTCACATTTATTTACGTTTTACAGACACGAAACTTAAAAATGCACGGATAATTTGAATGTTATAATCTTTCCTTGTGCCCTGATGCGGTTCAGCTTCTGTCGGACTAAAGGACACGACTCAGTGGAATATTGATGTTTTTTCTGTGACAGAGGGATGTTGATGATGCATACATGTGTGAAATAGTTGACGAAACAAAACCTGGATCAGTTAGGAGGACTGCAAAAAAAACACAGCCTTGACGCTCCTAAAATCGTGTTGTCTGAGATCGCGATTTCGGTCCAAAACAATAGATCATTCAGCCCTAACATGAGTCCTTTAAAAGTTCTTGCCAAGGTATCTGTGTGACATTAAGAGGTTAAAGACAGGACTAGAGCAGGTTTTTGTCTGTGCGCTGTAGTGTGAAGTGTGGAGGTTAAAGGGTCTGACCTCAGTTTTGACAAATAGCAGCATCCCGATCATGGTGAAGAGACAGAGGTGCAGGGCCAGCAGCAGGATCACACTGGAGACACATTTAAATAACACAATATTTTAAACTCAACGTCTAAAAACATCAACTTAAAATCAGAATATTGTGATTAAAATGAAGCAACAAAGTCAAGAACAGTTCATGTGCAAACGTTTGTGTTGACCTTCTATGTATATTTCTATGTACCTTAAGTAAATAAAAATAATAACGGTTAAACTTCTTGTAACTTGAGTTTTGTACCTGGCTATTTCGGGCAGTGTCCTCTTGATACATTTGAGTGTTTTCTTCATGAGAGATGAATTCTGCAGCAGGAAAAACGGACGAAAGAGTCGACGCACCCTCAGCCTCTAAACAAGGAACAATAAGTGCATCAGAAAATTAGAAAACGTAATGTAGTTTCAAGTATAGAAATAAATTAAAAGCGCTGTACTTGATTTTTACTGTCTTCAAAATGTGAAAAAATCCAGCAAGTGTCCAAAATTATTCCTCACTTAACTCATACATTTCGAGTATCCTAATTTTTAAAAGCTCTTTTTCGCAACTTTCAGAGGTGAGTTTTGCGGTTACGGTAATATTTACAACAGCTAGCATGTTAACAGCACACTTCCTGATTCTCGGACGAAAAAAAATGCTTAATAATTAGATGCAGACAGTCTCATTTTGATCTCAAGAACTGCTTCTACATTATATCTGTACTGGGGAAAGACAAATATTGCTCAAATACATGAGAAGAAATTGAGTACAGACACTTTAAAGGTGTTATACCTCATTTTTATCATAAAAATCTGAAAAAACAGAAGTATTTATATTTAAACCGTTTGCAGTGGTCCAAAGATATTCCTCACTTAACTTATGTACTCTGAGTATTCTACTTATTCACCAAATTTAAAAGCGCTTTTCATGACTTTTAGAGGTGGGTTTTGCCGTCATGGTAATGCTATCAACAGCTAGAATGCTAACAGCACACTTCCTGATTCTCTGACGGTAAAAATGCTTTATAATTAGATGCAGACAGAACACACCTTTACGTAACTTTCAATTTTAAGATCTGCTTTTGCAATACATCTGTACTGGGGTAAAACAAACTTGCTTAAATACGTGGAAATTGGGTGAGTTTTTCTGTCACGATAATGTGAAAAACTTGCATGCTAACCACACATTTCCTGATTCTAGGACAATAAAAATGCTTATAATTAAATGCAGTTTAAGATCTGCTTTTACAATGCACCTGCACTGGGGTAACACAAATATTGCTCAAAAACATGGAAAGAAGTTGGGTGCAGATAGAGCACAGCTTTCAGAGGTGAGTTTTTCTGTCACAGTAATGCTAAAACTTTCACGCTAACTACACACTTCCTGATTCTCGGACAGTAAAAATGCTTTATAAGAAGATGCAGACAGAACAGACGCTATATTTACAAAACATCTATACCGGGGTAAAACAAATATTGCTCAAAAACATGGAAAGACGCAAGTTTTTCTGTCACGGTAATGCAAAAAACTTACATGCTAACCACACACTTCCTGATTTTCAGACAGTAAAAATACTTATAATTAAATGCAAACAGTACACAGCGCTCTTATTTCTATTTTAAGATCTGCTTTTACAATACATCAAACAAACATTGCTCAAAAACATGGAAAGAAATTAGGTACAGATTGGGCACAACTTTCAGAGGTGAGTTTTTCTGTCACAGTAGCCTTCAATTTACACCAAAGCGTAACAGCACGTAACTTGTATGTCAGACAATTTACACCAGCAGCATCATACGTGTGTCCAGTGACCGTCACGACTCTACGCGCTTCTCAAAATAGCAGGAGTTCTAATTTTGCAGTGTCAACGGAGTGTCTCTGGGCTTTTTTATAAGGGGTAAGAGAAGAAATGGGCCCGTGGAATCAAAATAAACTTCCGACGCCCTTTCAAAATACGTTCTCTAAAACCACTACAGTTGTGTAAACACCGTGTGCCGCACCCAGTAGCTCGGGGAATGACTCGTGATGGACTATGAAAAGTTTACAGACGTGGAGGATAAATATAAAACACTTTATGGCATCAGACAAAAACTTTACAAGATCAGCTTCTGAAGGAAAAGGCGCGTGGAGCAGACGACCAAAGTGAAATGGTGAGGAGCTTAATTAATGCGACCACCGCAGATATGGCTCATTATCGCTACAAAGCATCGTCGTTTTGTTGTCATCTTTTGTTTCATGATTTAAAACATAATTCATCCAATCCACAATGAAAACAAAACCAGCGTAAAAAGTTTAGTGTTTAAACGTGAAAATAAACAGAGGCTGGAGTCACACGAGCAGTTCTGTTGTCTCTGGTGTAAATTGAAACTTTTAAAAGTACGCACAAATGCAGCTCTGCCTACATTACGTGCTGCTGACGCTCCTGGTCTAAATTCCAGGTTATGCTAACAATAACTAGTATCTTAACCGTGCAGTTCCTGATTCTTGGCAGATAAGACACTTTATAATTACATGGAGATATTTCACAGCGCTCTCATTTTTACTTTAATATATCTGTACTCAGGTAAAACAAATATTGCTCAAAACAAGGAACATTAGGTCGAGCCCCTTCAATTAAATATTGTTAGGTTAATATTTTTACACTCACCTCGTCACAGACCATACTGATGGACAACACCCAGTCGATGACAGAGATGGTGATGACCACGGTGTATCCAATCAGCCATTTATTCTTCCTTAACTCATCCCAGCCAATCAGGTAGCCCTAAAGAACACACGAAAACCAACACTTTATAATAAATACATTTTAATTATGCATGGACACTTAGTTCATAAAGAACAAACAGCTAAAGGTTAAACACTACATTATTTTCTGATCTATGTTATAATCACAAACAAACAAACAGACCTGGAGCTGTTTGTTTCAGTCACACATGTTTAACACACAGACCTGAATATTTACAAGAGTTCTTCTCTCAAACATAAAAGTGAGGTTTGTAGATGTAGACTTAAAGATAATGTGTGAATGAAACAAAATACATCACAAATCCTGGTATATTTTTGATGAGGCAACAACATTAAACCTGGCTTAAAGCTCACAAGAGTCAATTTTGTGTAAAACAGGACTTTTAACTAAGAATTATTCAGGCTTCGTAAGTACTTAATTGACCCAAAACCCCCTAATCTTAACCGCTTAATTAAAGCAATACTGTGTAACTTTCTAGAGATGGTACCTGCATGATTCTATGGAAATGGAAAGTTAAAACTAGGGATGGGCATTCGATGAAATTTTCTTAATCGATCGTCGGAAGAATTAACGATCGATTATCGATTAATCATTAACGTTTTTATATTAAAATGATCATCATTATTATTACTATCTGCACTACTAATCTGCATAAATAAATTCAACTTTACGACATATAAACCGTAACGACTCTAGAGCCACACCAATCCGTTTGACATTATAATGTGTTTATAATGTGTTCAGTTTTGCGCAACTCTCACAGAAACTGCATTGCTAATTTGCATAAACTCAGCGAAGATAAAACTACAGCTCTTGTGCGCTGATGCGGTCAGTTTCTGTCGAATACAAGTTAGTGTGACCATATTTGCGTTTGTCAAAACCAGGACACTGTATGGGAGGTGGGGACTCGTCATCGACATTGAGCGACTCTCACCTGGCAAAACTTTTTCCCACTGGACACCGAAACATATGTTCCTGCTTTATACACTGTGCACATGGACTCACACTTGTCCCGAACGCAACGGAAAGCGTGGAATTTCTTGTACAAATCATCGTTAAATACGCATTTGTGCTTCGGTACGTTGCAGACTGACCGAATGTTTGTGTTTGCTCGCTCCTTCTGAGTGCAGAGAGACACATGTACTGACCCTGTTTGGTGACGCTACGCACAGCAACCTACATTCGGTTTGTCGATTAAAATTAACGTAATCGATGAAATTCTTAATGATCAATTATCGATTAATCGATTAATCATGCTCATCCCTAGTTAAAACCATACTTTAGAACGTGTGAAGAATCCCTCAGTTGTACAGGTAGAATCCATGGCGAGGAGAAAATTCAGTTTGTCGACTGGACAGAAGTGAGTTTGGTTGAAGACGTTTCGCAGCTCATCCAAAATGCTTCTTCAGTTCAGAAACGCCTTCAACCAAACTAACTAAACTGAAATTTTTGCTCGCCATACTTTGGAAAATTCTCTATGGAGATAAATGAGTTGTACACCATACTGCTTGATATTAGTAGCCAGGCTGGTGCCACCTAGTGCCTCCGCTCAATTTAATTTCTTTCCAGCGACTAGATCAGGAATCAGAATACACTAGACGGTTTGCAAGAGCCCTGGAAGTTGTAGACCGCACACCGGTCAATCAGCGAAGAGCTGTGAAGCCATGATGTCAAACTGTACAAACATCACAACAGTAAACAAAGCGGTCTAAATGGATGTAGACGACGCCATACATTCTGTGTTGGCAACGATTCCCAAGATCAAGGATTTAAAGCCGCAACAAAGAGAATGTTCGGTGAATTTTATCAAGGGGAAAGACGTTATTGCCCTTCTGGTGGTGCATTACATACGTCACAACCAAATAGCAGCGATTGGTTAAATAAAAAAAGTACCCGCCTACTGTCGAGTGAACGAACCATAATGCTGCGAGGTCAGACGGTTTCCATGAAGTGAAACCGGCTGATGAATCAGGTTAGGATATTATAGCCAAAGGAACAACATTTCCATGGAAATAAGCAGATGGAGGCTCTCCTCTAGATTAAATAAGAGTCAGGTTTGTTCAGAGTAATTTTTTTCTCTTTTTTGGTCAAGTTACATGCTGGAGCTTTAAGTTATACCCATTTGTCCTTTATTTATTAAGTCTATAGTCATGCTTTATTAAGGTGTAGATACTATACATTTTAAAAATATATTATTATTTTGTTATTTTATATCTTATGACGACACAAACTTAGCACTTAAATCTTAAATCCTTGTACCTTGATAGCGAGGTCCAGGGTGAAGATGAGCAGACAGATCATCTCGATGCTCTCGGTCAAGCCGCAGGGGGGCTGCCAGGGCGGGAGGCGGTGCCGGGGGTCTGAGGAGGCGGAGAGAGACGAGGGACGCTCCACAAACGCCAAGAGTAAAACCACCGCGATCGTCAGACCCAGACCCCTGCAGCAGAGAGGGAGACAGACTGTTAGGGATGGTCTGATATGAGTTTTTTGAGTCGATACAACATTTGTCTTTCTGATATTTGCCAATGTAAAGCTTTTAAATACATTCAAGTAGGTCTGTCACAGTAACAAATTTGAACTGATTATACTGCTGATGAAAATATAGACAATAAATTATAATATTGAAACTCTTATGCAGAATTATCCCCCCAAAAAAGCTTCTAAAAGGGATAATATGGTTAGCAGAATGAAACACTATACTAGTTTGTATCGGGAGGGACGGGACAAGATCTCATGCCACAAGATCTCATGAGACAAAATTGACACGAGATTGTGAACACATGCTCATAATTATCTCATGAAATTTTCCCCATGTTTTCACATTTGGATTAGATAAAAAAGTAGAATTAAGTTCTGGCGAATTACATTTTTTGAGAAGCTGTCCTCCCAAAAAGCAGTTCTTACAATGACAGCACAAATATTTAGTAAATCAAAAATGGTGAGCCCAAATTTGGGAACTGGACTGTACAATTTATTTATTATAAACAATGTTTCAGTCTCGTTAATCCAGTCTCGTGTCTCATTTTGTCTTGTGGAAATTGTATCTTGTCCCAGAAAAATAACAACAAGTTCCCCATAGTATAAAGATAAATACTGACACCCAAAACTGACTGTTCTATCCAACATATAAACAATAACTCAATAGTAAGATGAGATTCAGGCGCAGGACCGTGCCTCAACCTCCGTCTACTCCTCTCCAGCAAACCACAACTCACCTCGACCACACCTCTAATTACCCAGAAGCCTCTTTGGAGCAGCCTATCCCATCAGTACAGTTTGTCTCAGCTATCTCGACCTCACTCTCCCACCCCCTCTCTGTTTGTCCTTCAGCCATAAGACATTATGAGGGAATCAGCTGGAAAGTCCCCCTGAATTGTACCCTTTATGAAACTAAGTGAGCATTTAAAAGCACTGCCAGTGTCGGTAATGTAAAAAATGTGTACCGCTTCGGGAAGATCGGTAAAATGACATAAACAAAGCCTGACATTTGGTCTCGCTACATTCACATTTCATTTTTCGGAAGGACGCTCGAGTCGGTATTCATTTACGAAGGGGGTTCCTGTAGCGACTGGGCTGATCAATTGAGACGGAGGCCCCATCCTGAGTCTCAACCAGGCCGCCTCTACCTCATTCTCTCATCATTTATCAATATTGTTGTTGTCGTGGTCCTTGCTAGTGAAATTAGGCTTAAATTGAGAGGTTTACAGCCTAGGTCTCTGCCACTGAAAGCGTCTGTTTCAGAGTGTTTGGAAGTCAAATTTTAGGAAAAGCTGTTTGACTATTTTTTGTCTATTTTTTTATTTTTTATTTTTTTTACACACATAAAGAAAAAACTATTTAGTATGATTATTTTAGTTATAAATGTCAAAAACTACAGGTCTGTTCAATCAATCAATCAATCAAACTTTATTTATAGAGCGCTTTTCATGCAAAAAAATGCAACACAAAGCATTTTTTTGTTTGCTTGTTTTTGTTTGTTTGTGTTAGGAAACTAATGTTGAAAAGACATGCTTATTTGATGATATAAAATACAAACCATAATTGTGGATCGATGGATCAATACGTGGGAAAAAACTCCAATTATCTACACATAACTAATTATAGCTTTAACCTTTTTCAGTCTGTAACCATCATGTCAAAATTACTTCCATAAAAACAATAGGCCTACTCTTTCTGACTTTAATTCTTGACAGACCATCCAGAACACCACTTCACCATTTCACCTTTTCACTTCTCAAAATACTTTTGTTTTTAAAAGTTATGGTTCAGTAAACAGATACCACTGAATAGACAGAGGGATTAAAAATACTACAGTTTATAGGGCCCATATTAGGCTATTTTCTGATCTGGAACCCAAAGAAAAAAATTGCAATTTATATTTTTTATGATTTTCTATCCATTTATCTATTTGGAGGTAAACGAACACCTTAGCATTTAGATTTTGTTCATTTCATTTTTATTTATAATTTTATAGCATGTCCACTGTAATGGACGTCGGGGACATTTTGGGTTTAAATCCATGTGAAGTTAACATCCAAACAATAACAACTTTTCTCATGACCGACATCTCTGACAAGCTTCTACAGTCACGTCAAAAAGTTTTTAGACTCCCTTTTAATTTCTTATTATTTCTAATTTCTTTAGTTTCTTCTTTATCATAGTGCAGCCACAGACTAACGCCTATTGATTTTTTTTTTTTTTTTGCATCCTGGACATGATAGTACCGTATAATTCTCCAGTCCTATTTAGGCAGAGGGACCTAGTGCCCCCGTTAAGAGGAAGATGTCAAAACACTTAAAACAGACTGGTTAATTCAATGTCCACTATAATGGACACAAATGAATGAGTTGGGTCGCAGGAGGATATTGTTGTCTTCTCATCAAAAAAATGGTCCTGGAGTTGTGTTTTGTTTCATTCACACAAGTTGAGCACGTAAACCCTGCAGATTTTGGCTCCACTGTGTTTATAAACTTCACACACCTTCACTAGAATCAAGTAGATAATTTCAGACCTGGACAGACTAATAATAAAGGATTTCTCAAACATTCACAATATGTAAATGAAACAAAGCACAACTCCAGGTATGTTTTTGATAAGATAACAACATTATAAAAAGGCTTAAAGCTCACAATAGTCAATTTTGTGTAATTTATCTACCTAAATACTTCCCTCATATCTGTTCTGATAGTTAAAATAATAGTAATTTAATATAAAAGTGAATATGTTAAACTAAACGTACCATTGGCAGATCCTGGAGTAGTAGCACCTGTAAAGACGGAGTGACCAGCTGTCCACACGATGGTTTATGGAGCGATACTAAAAAAAGACAAATAAAATACAATCTGAAAGTCAAGTACGTTTGTCTATAGACTCTTTAGTAGTAATCTGTTAAAAAGAGTCCAAAACAAATTGACAAATACTTGAACCTCAACCAAGACATTTTGGTTTTAGCAACTTTCTGATGGATTGTAAAAGCTTTATCAGATAATCTTCCAAGAGTATTTGAGTGAAATGTGTCTACCCCAGTACAGAATATATTGTAAAAGCAACTCTTGAGGTGAAAATAAGACCACTGTGTTCTATCTTCATCTAATTATAAAGTGTTTTGTTGCTTGAGACTCAGAAAGTGCACTGTTAGCATGATAGTTGTTGTTACTATCCTGTGACTCTGGCCTCTGAAAGTTTTGAAAAGTTCTTATAAACTCGTTGCAGTGAAAAATTACGATGCTGGGAATGCATAAGGTACTGTAAGTGAGGAATAACTTAAAACTGTTTAAAATAAAATAAAAATAGTCTATTTTGTTTAAAAAGACATACTGTAGCTTTAAATTTGTTTATAGTCTTCAAATGCTGAACTTAATTTGGTCTCTTTCCATTGGTCTTCACTCTGTCTGACTCCTGTTTTTGTAATATTGAAATATTATTTATCAATTATCACATTTTATCCCGTTGACCTCAAAAAAGGAATTAAAGGTGCACTGTGTAACTTTCTGGTTGAGAATCCATCACCTGCTTGTTTTTATGATATCATTGCTCTGCCTGGAATGTTCCACAGTGTGACATTAAACAGCTCCGCCTTCAATTACTTTGGTTTGGTCTGGTTTGGTCTCCATGAAGACAGAAAGGTTTAATGCCATACTGTGCCACATTCCAGACAAAGCAATAACATCTCCATGGAGAAAAGCGTTTGACACAGTGCACCTTTAAAGATTGTACTTGCATGTCATCTTATGTTTTAGGTCAGGGGTGTCAAACTCTGATTAACTGATTGAAACTCAAATTCACAGAGGAACAAATTTAAGGGCCTGAGTCTGACACGTTTGCTTTACATTACTAGAAAATCTAAACAGAATAGTCAATAGGTTATGGAAATCACACAGAAATAAACTAAATGGTATTGCACATAATAAAAAAGTGCATTACCTGAATGGCATCTTCAATGAACACAACAGCCTGCTGAACGTACAGGTCCTCATCTCCTGCAAAAAAGGACCAAATGAGCTTGAGTAGATCCATCTGGAGACTAAGACCAGGACTAAACCAGGACTAGACTAGACCAGGACTAGACCAGGACTAGACCGGGACTAGACCGGGACTAGACCGGGACTAGACTGGGAAAAGACCAGGACTAGACAAGGTCCAGATCAGGAAAAGACCAGGACTAGACCAGATCAAGACCAGACCAGGACTAGACCAGATCAAGACCAGACCAGGACTAGACCAGGACCAGACCAGGAAAAGACCAGAACTAAACCAGGACCAGACCAGGACCAGACTAGGAAAAGACCAGGACTAGACCACACCAAGACTTGATCAGAATTAAACCAGGACTAGACCAGGACAAGACCAGGACCAGCCCAGGACTAGACGAATACCAGACCAGGAGGAAACCAGGGCGAGACTAAGACTAAACCAAATAAGGCAGTCCCTTCTTTACAGCTCCCCCCACACTTTGATCAACAGTGAGACTGACTGCAGACGTTGTTATTTGTTATTTAGACATTTGTTTACATTTATTTAACCCGTCTTTAGTCAAACAGGTTTTGGACCGGCTCGGGGTTCCTCACGGCAAAACTGAGAAAACAGCAACACGTGAGAATACAGCGCATGTACACTGTACTAAAACTAGAAAATAGATACTAATTTGAGCAAGTATTGATACTAAAAAATTACAAAAATGTAAAATATAAAAGAAAGTATTATGATTTAATGTTGAAAATCACTTTCTATTATCTAAAGAAATCATGTTTTTTATTAATATTCGTGGCATTGGGATCAGTATTGAGTATCGAGCCTATTCCTTAGTCTCGAAATCAAGTTTGAAATTTTAGTTTTTGATTACTAATCCTGGAATTTATAAGAAAAGAAACAGGTTATTCCATTTAGAGAAATAATTATCATGAGAAAAAAACATCACAACTTATTGACACTCAAACAGCAGTGAAAAAGTTATTTCGTTTATAACGGAGGAAATAAGTGAATGTAAAATAAAATTAAAATGCCAATAAAAACACCTCATATTTAAGTAGCATTTTAGAGTATAGATGGAATAAAAATTCTACAATTGTGCTACTGACAAAACAAAATGTATTAATACGTATAAATATTGCATGACCGGTCATAATGTGAGGATGCATTCAGATTTTTCTTGTCTCTGGTTTGATCCCAGTTTAGTCCTGATGTAGACCCAGTGTGGTCACATTCTAGTCCTGGTTTAGTCCTGGTTTAATCCTGATGTAGACCCAGTGTGGTCACATTCTAGTCCTGGTTTAGTCCTGGTTTAATCCTGATGTAGACCCAGTGTGGTCACATTCTAGTCCTGGTTTAGTCCTGGTTTAATCCTGATGTAGATCTAGTGTGGTCACGTTCTAGTCCTGGTTTAGTCCTGATCTAGACCCAGTGTGGTCACATTCTAGTCTTGGTTTAGTCCTGATGTAGACCCAGTGTGGTCACGTTCTAGTCCTGGTTTAGTCCTGGTTTAGTCCTTATTTAGTCCTGATGTAGACCCAGTGTGATCACATTCTAGTCCTGGTTTAGTCCTTGTTTAAACCTGATGTAGACTCAGTGTGGTCACATTCTAGTCCTGGTTTAGTCCTTGTTTAATCCTGATGTAGACCCAGTGTGGTCACATTCTAGTCCTGGTTTAGTCCTTGTTTAATCCGGATCTAGACCCAGTGTGGTCACGTTCTAGTCCTGGTTTAGTCCTGGTTTAGTCCTTATTTAGTCCTTATGTAGACCCAGTGTGGTCACATTCTAGTCCTGGTTTAGTCCTGATGTAGACCCAGTGTGGTCACATTCTAGTCCTGGTTTAGTCCTTGTTTAATCCTGATGTAGACCCAGTGTGGTCACATTCTAGTCCTGGTTTAGTCCTGGTTTAGTCCTGGTTTAGTCCAGGTTTAGTCCAGGTTTAGTCCAGGTTTAGTCCAGGTTTAGTCCAGGTTTAGTTCCAGTTTAGCCCAATTTGAATATGGGATGTTTTGTATGCAAGTGTGTTTATTTAAATTGTGTTACACTTGATACACTTGGTACACAACAACAAATATATATACTGAAGAAATACTATGAAAATTAATAGACGATAAAAGATAATATTGAAACAAATTTATGGCACTGACACTATAAACCAAGAGCAAGATTATCCCAAAAACTATTCTAAATGAACAATGTGGTTAAAAAACAACAAAACACAAATTTCAATTAACTATAATAAATAACAGAATGAAACACTTTAGTCTTTAGTTTGCATCTCTAATGAGTCACAGAAGTCATTTATTCAACCCACTACAGCTCAGGTCTATTCATAGAACAAAAAACAACAAAAAGTTCCCGTCTAGAGAAGAAAAAGTACCTACAATAAATACTGAAAATACAAAAATAATTACTGACACTGAATTGAAATGTGTTGGCTCTACTAAAAAAACACACTGCTACTAGTTGCTTCTCCACTTCTCTATTGTATTAGTCGCAGAAGCATCATAACAAAAGCATGTGCACTGAGAAACCTTCCCACAAACGTTTCTATTGTCAAGACAGGAAGTGACGCACTTGGTCACATGACTTTCTGGCACTTCCGAATAATTCTGAGTAATATCACGAAATCATAACACTTATATAACACTGCAAGTCGAACAATATACCTGTATCTACACTACCAGTCAAAACTTTGAACACACCTTTCATTCAATGCCTGTTTTTGTTTATTTCTAGTACTATATACACACAGAAAAAGTCAAATATATAAAGGAAGATATATGGAATTATGTAGTAAAGAAAAAAAGTTTAATAAATCTACTAAATGTTTTCGACAAAGCAAAGCAGATTTGAATATAGAATCTTTCTTTCTTTCTTTGATACATAATTCCATAAATCTTACTTCATGTATTTCTTATGTATGTATATAAAGTAATAGAAAGTAGTAATAATCTTGCTTTAAGACACACTTCTGTGGTCCTCTGTAGAGCTGGGCATCATTCAGAAGTTGCCGATACGATACATATCTCGATACATAGGCCACAATACGATACATACCTTGATACAAAGGCCACGATACTATACATACATCGATACATAGGCCACGATACGATACATATCTCGAAACATACGCCATGATACGATACATACCTCGATACAGTGCACTTTCATTTCAATATGATATATTTCAAATCGATTCAATATGGTTCAATAAAAATAAAGGCTAAATCATGGCTGTGATAATAAAAGTCTTTGTTAAACCACTTTTTGTGTAAAGTTCATATGAAACACAAACATTTTAATCATCAAAACAGTGAAAATATCAAATGTGTCGCATAAATGAGTTTCCTTTCACTAAACAAGCAACAAAACTGTAGCTCTGTAACAAATTAATTTAGTAAAATGTATCAAAAATCACTCTTAGCGATATATATTGATAAAGCAGCCCATGATATCGATAGTGTGTCATCACATTAAACAATAAGATATATCAATATATTTAAATATTTTTGCACACCCCTAGTCCTTTGTGTCTTTTATTGCATTTTATAAAATTTTTATGTGATTTTATTCATGTGTTATATTTAAATTTTTAGCTTTATGCATTGTAATACTTTTTATTTATTGTATTTAATTTCTGATTTACTGTATTTTATCGTATTGTACGTGTCTGTGCAGCACTTTGGGAACTGTCAAAATAAATAAAGTGGATTGGATTGGATTCAATAATAAATAAATACATACATAAAACAGTAAATGAGATGGTGTGTCCAAACTTTTAGTGTATATAATATATCTGTATCTATTAGGGATGTAACAATAACCAAAATATCGTGATATTGTATCATCAGAACTCTCACAATAACATCGTGATCCATCACAATATAGTGAATTACAAAGTTTTTCACTTAAAAGTATTAAAAAAGAGGGAACTGCATAGGCCAATGATCATTTATTTACTTTACTACATAAAATCCTAAATATCGCAATAAATATCGCACCATGAGAAGCATATCGTGATAATATCGTACCGTGAGATTTGGATATCGTTACATCCCTAGTATCTATATATTGACGTTTCAGGCGAAGCAATAACATCACCATTTACCAGGAAAGTGACATGTTGCATCTTTAATTTCTAGTAACTGTCACACTTGAGAGTCTACTGTGTGATCTTCCAGCGGAGACAAAAGCCCGCGTGCCTTCAGGGTTTTGTGGAGTTCAAAAGTGAGTCAACACTGACCGCAGACTCAACGTTCACACAAACTACTGCGGTCACTGCTGACTCGGTCTCATGTACAGGATGTGTCATAGAGAGACTGACGAGGAGGAGGAAGAGAGGAGGAAGAGGAGGGGTAAACGGAGGAAAAGGAGAGAGAGAGAGGTGAGAAAGAGGTATAAGGAGGAGGGGGCAGGGTTAGTTTGCTCAATAATAGAAAAAATCATGATTGTGATGATTTGGCTCACACTCTGCGTCCTCTCTCTCACCTTCATCTTCTGTTACTGTTTTACACCGGCATCATTCAACACATCCTTCTCTATCTACTGCTCCCTCTATTACTTCACCACGCTCTCCATCAAAAACAGAAATAAACTCACCAAGGTCACACACACAGGATCTAAAATTAGCAGCTCGTTGCATCACCTTTATCTATAACAGAAATCACTATTTATTTAAAACAATGACTAAAGGAATGACACGCACATCAGTATCCCGGTCATTAGCCGTACACATGTGCTCTGAGAAACCAGGACACTCATATCCCTGTATTCATGATGAAATGGAGTATCCTGGTGTGAGATAGTATTTTGACCCCGGGGTGAACATATCGCTATAGTAAAGTGACGACGATTTTGACTCCCCTTACTTTTTTCTTTAGTATTTACTCATATGATCATTATTTCTCATGTAATTTACTTTTATTATATATTGCTACATATTCACTTTCTTTTAAGTTCTTTTAAGGTATAGGTGAGTTTCATTGTTGACAAAAGCGCGCGTTGCATG